TGGGCAGGTGAAGTAGTGTTGGGTAGGTTTAAAGTTCACCTGTGACGACAGCATATGAAGAGATAGTGTGGTCAGACCCACGCTCAGCCAAAATCTGTGTTTTCACAGACAAAAACATGTCTGAGTTGGGAGGACACTGGGCAGGTGAAGTAGAGTTGACCTGTTTTTGTGACCTCAGCATTTGAAAAGATTATGTTGTCAGACCCATGCTCAGACGAAGTCAGTGTTTTTAAAAGACAAAAACGTTTAAGGTGTGACGCCTTTTTGAATGTGGGGTCTGGTCAGAGGCGTAGCGAGGCGAGAGGGGCGGGGGGTGCGGACCGCACCGGGTGACACCATTTAGGGGGGTGACACCAAAGCAAAAAATAGCAAAATATATACAGAAAAACTTGAGGGGGGGGGGTTCAAATCGAAAGTTTGGGTGGGGGGGGGGTGTGCAAATCGAAAGTTTGAGGGGGGAGGTGCTAATCTAAAGTTTGAGGGGGGGGGGGGGGCAAATCGAAAATTTGAAAGTTTGTCCCCGGGAAGGGTCGCAACGCCTCTGGGGGATGACACCATTAAGTGCCGCACCGGGTGACACCCGACCTCGCTACGCCACTGGGTCTGGTTATTTTGTGATGATAAGTGACAGTCGTGATGTCATTTATGGATGACCCCCGAAACCCACAGTTATCCAAGGGATGACCGGGTAAGGCTAGTAGTACTTATAATCGTTTTAGTCCATTTTAATTTTTTTTAAATACTGTTATTTGGTTTTAATTTTTTTTTCACATAATAATATTGTTAGAAAAGGTTTGTCGCATACGTTTGTCAAATTACATTAAACATATATATATATATATATATATATATATATATATATATATATATATATATATATATATATATATATATATATATATATATATAATCTAATACAAATAACTATATATCTAAAATACACATTATAAAATATAATGATATGTATATTCATAAAATGTATTAATATGCAATATGATTTTTATTAAATAGAGTGTTTTATTATTACTGCTCATGTATATATGACGTCAGAATTATTTGACATAATGTAAACATCTTGTGTTGTCCTGCGTCAACACCCACTCAGTCCTTCAAACATTTCCTATCGCTGTTTAACATCTGCTGACTCCCAATGTTTTCAAACTAAAATCAACATAAAGATGACATGAATTGTCGGGAACGATATCCACAAGTGTCTATGTAACGGCAATTGAAAACCCTCGTGTCGTTGTTGTATTTTTATGATGTGTCAATCATTTGATTGTGTCGTCGTGTGTCGTCTGCTGCTGGTACATTGTGTCCTATGAAAGGGAGACAATTAGAAGATCTGAAGTGCTGGTCACGGGTCTAACGTTAATATTGTCACGCATTTAAATGTAAAAACTTAGTCTCATTTTTGAATGTTATCACATACGAGCCGACCCGCGGCATATCATACGTCGCTATTTAGTTGTTTTATTTTCTACTTTTCAGTAATTCATAATTTGTGAATTCGACAGTACCAATGCTGCCACTGAAAATATTTGCTTTAAAACACTATTAGTAGGTCGTTGAGGACGATACTACCCCCACCCTCCTTTCCCCCTACACCACCCCCTCGTGAAAGCGGCCTCCTCTTAGTTACCTCCCATATGTTTAAAATCGTTTCAAACTAAATTATCTGCCCCTAATAGTTGTCACTAAACCCGGCTCTGTTTGTAAACATTTAGGCCTAGCGTGAACCACAACTCACCAGACCATGTAGGGGTGGGGTGGTAGGGAGCGCGCTTACAGCTTGTTTTCTAGCGTCTCCCAGAAGAGAATTATATATATAGATGCTTGAAGAAATGTAGTTGTTTTTTTTTAAACATTTAGCTCTGTATATGCTAAGAGTTGACATCTGGATTCTCATATATTGGGACATATTTTATGTAATAATCAACTTTCAAACCTTATTAACGTTCCAAAAGTTTCCTTGTTTCAGACGAGACTGGTTAGTGTGTTGGAACTGTGTTGTGTAAAGCCTTACACTCTCCTGTGCTTTTTAAACAGACTCAAGGGAGAGAAAAGTCGTGACGACAATTAACCGTACTACTCTAAAGCTATTTCCGATTTCTCAACAAAAAAAACACAAGAATCTATTTACCTTGATTTCTCTGTCTATCGACTGTAATGAACGAAAACTTGCGAGCAAACTTTCGACCACTTCTATCGGACCTATTTCTTTTAAACCTTTCACGTAGGTCAAGACGCGATGACAACGTAACATAAAATGTGCCTTAATTAGGTGTTTAATTAACTTTTTTCAAAATTAATTTTCACCACTTTTGCCAATACATTGTTTGTTTTTATTTAGGTGGGCAATTTTCTACGCTGGTGGTCCATGCTGTACAGTAATCTTTAGTATGCTTGTAAAGTTATCAAAACATAACATCAAGTTTATAAAACTTTTAAACAGCGGTGCTTGCTTTTTGTCTTCACATGGTGAAAGTTTTAAATTAAGTTCCATTGTGTCGTTCATAGCTCTATTCACAAGTTGGTTTAGAAGTTTTTCATTCAGGCATTTAAAAAAAGTTTATGGCAGTAGTGGTGGTAGTGGTGGTGGTGGAGGTAGTGGTTGTAGTAGTAGTAGTGCGGTAGTGGTGGTAGTGTTTGTAGTGGTGGTAGTGGTGGTAGTGGTAGTAGTGCGGTAGAGGTGATAGTGGTGGCAGTGGAGGTAGTGGTAGTAGTGCGGTAGAGGTGATAGTGGAGGTAGTGGAGGTAAGAACTGCTTGTTGTTGGTGGGTTGGATAACTTGTTGTGTCAGTGTCAATGCTGATCATACGACTCATTTGTCGGGGCTATGATGGTATGAGATTTTATGTCGTGAGCCCTTTTGTCGGGGCTATGATGGTATGAGATTTTATGTCGTGAGCCCTTTTGTCGGGGCTATGATGGTATGAGATTTTATGTCGTGAGCCCTTTTGTCGGGGCTATGATGGTATGAGATTATATGTCGTGAGCCCTTTTGTCGGGGCTATGATGGTATGAGATTTTATGTCGTGAGCCCTTTTGTCGGGGCTATGATGGTATGAGATTTTATGTCGTGAGCCCTTTTGTCGGGGCTATGATGGTATGAGATTTTATGTCGTGAGCCCTTTTGTCGGGGCTATGATGGTATGAGATTTTATGTCGTGAGCCCTTTTGTCGGGGCTATGATGGTATGAGATTATATGTCGTGAGCCCTTTTGTCGGGGCTATTTAAACTGGTTCGTTTTGTCGTGGGGCGATTACATCATTTATCTACTCTATAATAAAACGTCCATAAACTGAAACAAGTCAAACACAGACAGACCAACTAGAGCATGGAGATATTTTTATTGTCACATGTTGTACTAGACACGTTTATAATCGAATGTGTTAACATAGCGCTTGTTGGTTGTCGCTGGGCTGTTTCAATCTGTAGAGTAGAGACAAACAACCTCAATTCATGGACACATAAACATCAATATGTCTGACACATAAACATCAATATGTCTGACACATAAACATCAAAATTACTGACACATAAACATCAATATGTCTGACACATAAACATTAATATGTCCGACACATACGAAGAATGCATTTTCGTATTATCGATTAGTCTAACGTATATTGTGGTAAATATTTTACAACCAACCAACCACACATTCTGTCTGTCTAGATATCAAAACTTTTCATTCACTTTAATAACAGCAGCTCGCTGTTACCGCACCATCTATTCCTAAATACAACAGTAACTTCAGTCAAACAATACGACACTACAGATACAATAGTAACTTCAGTCAAACAATACGACACTACAGATACAATAGTAACTTCAGTCAAACAATACGACACTACAGATACAATAGTAACTTCAGTCAAACAATACGACACTACAGATACAATAGTAACTTTAGTCAAACAATACGACACTACAGATACAATAGTAACTTCAGTCAAACAATACGACACTAAAGATACAACAGTAACTTCAGTCAAACAATACGACACTACAGATACAATAGTAACTTCAGTCAAACAATACGACACTAAAGATACAACAGTAACTTCAGTCAAACAATACGACACTAAAGATACAACAGTAACAATCAGTCAAACAATACGACACTAAAGATACAACAGTAACTTCAGTCAAACAATACGACACTAAAGATACAACAGTAACTTCAGTCAAACAATACGACACTAAAGACGCACAATTTATTTTAAGGACGAACAATTTTAATTGAACAATAACAAACAGCATAAACGATAAACATTAAATCTCCCAAAAAAAATGAAACTTACTGTCACATTTAAACTGATCCGCCATAGCTAGAGAGAAACAAAGATACAACGTTATGTACATATTGTTTTAATGGCATGTGTGAACTAGGCTAGAATAATGGACTAAATGCATTATAAGCTTTCATTCCACTGACAATGCTTTCGTTTGTTTGTTAGTTTGTGGAAAATTTGACCCAATAGTAACCCACAACCCATTTCTAATGCAGCAATTTCATTCAAACTTTCCTGATACAATCGTCTCCGATGACAATGCAAGAATATCTGTTTCAGTCTAATTACACACTATGTTAGGCCTTAATTTAATTCCATGACTACTAAATTCAATTATAAAAGATGGATAGTAAAACGAAGTACTAGCGATCGCACACGTAGAGGCAGTAAAAGATTTCACATATTGAGGCAGTAAAAGACTTCACATATTGAGGCAGTAAAAGATTTCACATATTGAGGCAGCAGTGACACCTATGGCAACGAATGCGGGAAAGTGACACCAGCAGATCACTGAATCCTTTCCCAACTAAGTGCTGCGTAAAATCCACTGGCTCCCCAACTAAGTGCTGCGTAAAATCCACTGGCTCCCCAACTAAGTGCTGCGTAAAATCCACTGGCTCCCCAACTAAGTGCTGCGTAAAATCCACTGGCTCCCCAGCTAAGTGCTGCGTAAAATCCACTGGCTCCCCAACTAAGTGCTGCGTAAAATCTACTGGCTCCCCAACTAAGTGCTGCGTAAAATCCACTGGCTCCTCAACTAAGTGCTGCGTAAAATCCACTGGCTCCCCAACTAAGTGCTGCGTAAAATCCACTGGCTACCCAACTAAGTGCTGCGTAAAATCCACTGGCTCCCCAACTAAGAGCTGCGTAAAATCCACTGGCTCCCCAACTAAGTGCTGCGTAAAATCCACTGGCTCCCCAACTAAGTGCTGCGTAAAATCCACTGGCTTCCCAACTAAGTGCTGCGTAAAATCCACTGGCTCCCCAACTAAGTGCTTCGTAAAATCCACTGGCTCCTCAACTAAGTGCTGCGTAAAATCCACTGGCTCCCCAACTAAGTGCTGCGTAAAATCCACTGGCTCCCCAACTAAGTGCTGCGTAAAATCCACTGGCTCCCCAACTAAGTGCTGCGTAAAATCCACTGGCTCCCCAACTAAGTGCTGCGTAAAATCCACTGGCTCCCCAACTGAGTGCTGCGTAAAATCCACTGGCTCCCCAACTAATTGAAATGGAAGCCGTTTCCAAAATAATGGGGGAGGGGCGCGACTAATGACTAAATTAACGAACCTGTGTAGCAGGCGCGACAGATGACTAAATTAACGAACCTGTGTAGCAGGCGCGACTAATGACTAAATTAACGAACCTGTGTAGCAGGCGCGACTAATGACTAAATTAACGAACCTGTGTAGCAGGCGCGACTAATCACTTGATCAGCGATCTGCTTGAGAGCATCAAAGCTGTTGGCCAAGAAGACGTTCTTGGGGTCGCTGGCGATGGCCAGTAGCTCACTCTCCTCGGCGTTGTCGATGCCCACAGCGATGATGTCAATGTCCTTGGCCTTCAACTTCTCAGCAGCGGCTGCAGCTGAAGTAGAGTGACATGACAAGTAGAGTGACATGAGAAGTAGAGTGACATGAGAAGTAGAGTGACATGACAAGTAGAGTGACATGAGAAGTAGAGTGACATGACAAGTAGAGTGACATGAGAAGTAGAGTGGCATGAGAAGTAGAGTGACATGAGAAGTAGAGTGACATGAGAAGTAGAGTGACATGAGAAGTAGAGTGGAATGAGAAGTAGAGTGACATGAGAAGTAGAGTGGCATGAGAAGTGACATGAGAAGTAGAGTGGCATGAGAAGTAGAGTGGCATGAGAAGTAGAGTGGCATGAGAAGTAGAGTGACACGAGAAGTAGAGTGACATGAGAAGTAGAGTGGCATGAGAAGTAGAGTGGCATGAGAAGTAGAGTGGCATGAGAAGTAGAGTGACATGAGAAGTAGAGTGGCATGAGAAGTAGAGTGACATGAGAAGTAGAGTGGCATGAGAAGTAGAGTTGCATGAGAAGTAGAGTGACATGAGAAGTAGAGTGACATGAGAAGTAGAGTGACATGAGAAGTAGAGTGACATGAGAAGTAGAGTGGCATGAGAAGTAGAGTGGCATGAGAAGTAGAGTGGCATGAGAAGTAGAGTGACATGAGAAGTGACATGAGAAGTAGAGTGACATAAAAGTAGAGTGACATGAGAAGTAGAGTGACATGAGAAGTGACATGAGAAGTAGAGTGACATGAGAAGTGACATGAGAAGTAAAATGACATGAGAAGTAGAGTGGCATGAGAAGTAGAGTGGCATGAGAAGTGACATGAGAAGTAGAGTGACATGAGAAGTAGAGTGACATGAGAAGTAGAGTGGCATGAGAAGTAGAGTGGCATGAGAAGTAGAGTGGCATGAGAAGTAGAGTGGCATGAGAAGTAGAGTGACATGAGAAGTAGAGTGGCATGAGAAGTAGAGTGGCATGAGAAGTAGAGTGACATGAGAAGTGACATGAGAAGTAGAGTGACATGAGAAGTAGAGTGACATGAGAAGTAGAGTGGCATGAGAAGTAGAGTGGCATGAGAAGTAGAGTGGCATGAGAAGTAGAGTGACATGAGAAGTAGAGTGGCATGAGAAGTAGAGTGGCATGAGAAGTAGAGTGACATGAGAAGTGACATGAGAAGTAGAGTGACATGAGAAGTAGAGTGACATGAGAAGTAGAGTGACATGAGAAGTAGAGTGGCATGAGAAGTAGAGTGACATGAGAAGTGACATGAGAAGTGACATGAGAAGTAGAGTGACATGAGAAGTAGAGTGGCATGAGAAGTAGAGTGGCATGAGAAGTAGAGTGACATGAGAAGTAGAGTGGCATGAGAAGTAGAGTGGCATGAGAAGTGACATGAGAAGTAGAGTGACATGAGAAGTAGAGTGACATGAGAAGTAGAGTGGCATGAGAAGTAGAGTGACATGAGAAGTGACATGAGAAGTAGAGTGACATGAGAAGTAGAGTGGCATGAGAAGTAGAGTGGCATGAGAAGTAGAGTGACATGAGAAGTGACATGAGAAGTAGAGTGGCATGAGAAGTAGAGTGACATGAGAAGTGACATGAGAAGTAGAGTGACATGAGAAGTAGAGTGACATGAGAAGTAGAGTGACATGAGAAGTAGAGTGACATGAGAAGTAGAGTGGCATGAGAAGTAGAGTGACATGAGAAGTGACATGAGAAGTAGAGTGGCATGAGAAGTAGAGTGGCATGAGAAGTAGAGTGACATGAGAAGTAGAGTGGCATGAGAAGTAGAGTGACATGAGAAGTGACATGAGAAGTAGAGTGGCATGAGAAGTAGAGTGGCATGAGAAGTGACATGAGAAGTAGAGTGACATGAGAAGTAGAGTGACATGAGAAGTAGAGTGACATGAGAAGTGACATGAGAAGTAGAGTGGCATGAGAAGTAGAGTGGCATGAGAAGTGACATGAGAAGTAGAGTGACATGAGAAGTAGAGTGACATGAGAAGTAGAGTGACATGAGAAGTAGAGTGACATGAGAAGTAGAGTGACATGAGAAGTAGAGTGACATGAGAAGTAGAGTGACATGAGAAGTAGAGTGACATGAGAAGTAGAGTGGCATGAGAAGTTGAGTGGCATGAGAAGTAGAGTGGCATGAGAAGTGACATGAGAAGTAGAGTGACATGAGAAGTAGAGTGACATGAGAAGTAGCGTGACATGAGAAGTAGAGTGGCATGAGAAGTGACATGAGAAGTAGAGTGACATGAGAAGTAGAGTGACATGAGAAGTAGAGTGGCATGAGAAGTAGAGTGACATGAGAAGTAGAGTGACATGAGAAGTAGAGTGACATGAGAAGTAGAGTGGCATGAGAAGTAGAGTGACATGAGAAGTAGAGTGACATGAGAAGTGACATGAGAAGTAGAGTGACATGAGAAGTAGAGTGACATGAGAAGTAGAGTGACATGAGAAGTAGAGTGACATGAGAAGTGACATGAGAAGTAGAGTGACATGAGAAGTAGAGTGGCATGAGAAGTAGAGTGACATGAGAAGTAGAGTGACATGAGAAGTAGAGTGACATGAGAAGTAGAGTGGCATGAGAAGTAGAGTGGCATGAGAAGTAGAGTGGCATGAGAAGTAGAGTGACATGAGAAGTAGAGTGACATGAGAAGTAGAGTGACATGAGAAGTAGAGTGACATGAGAAGTAGAGTGACATGAGAAGTAGAGTGGCATGAGAAGTTGAGTGACATGAGAAGTGACATGAGAAGTAGAGTGGCATGAGAAGTAGAGTGACATGAGAAGTGACATGAGAAGTAGAGTGGCATGAGAAGTGACATGAGAAGTAGAGTGACATGAGAAGTAGAGTGACATGAGAAGTAAAGTGACATGAGAAGTAGAGTGGCATGAGAAGTAGAGTGACATGAGATTATCACAGAGGGATGTTACACTTTTCTGTAAAAATGGGATACCTAAACATTTTATATTTTCACTACGTAAGACAAGTATACGTGGAAAGAAGCAAGTTATTTTATATATCTACATGTCTGTTTTAACCATAGTATGTATAACTCATGCTTATGATATATATTTTCAAAATATATTTAAAACTTTCAACTTTTTAAATTGTAAAGTCTTTTTGTTAAGTTTAATTTCGGAAAATTATGAAATTTGTCTCAGCGTAAGTTTAGAACTTTAAAAGCAAATCGAGTAAATGGAATGAGAAACTAAAACACAACAGGATGAAATGAATGGGTGAGAAAACGACGGGATGAAATGAATGGGTGAGAAAACGACAGGATGAAATGAATCGGTGAGAAAACGACTGGATGAAATGAATCGGTGAGAAAACGACAGGATGAAATGAATCGGTGAGAAAACGACAGGATGAAATAAATCGGTGAGAAAACGACAGGATGAAATGAATGGGTGAGAAAACGACAGGATGAAATTAATGGGTGAGAAAACGACAGGATGAAATGAATGGGTGAGAAAACGACAGGGTGAAATTAATGGGTGAGAAAACGACAGGATGAAATGAATGGGTGAGAAAACAACAGGATGAAATGAATCGGTGAGAAAACGACAGGGTGAAATTAATGGGTGAGAAAACGACAGGATGAAATGAATGGGTGAGAAAACGACAGGATGAAATGAATCGGTGAGAAAACGACAGGATGAAATGAATCGGTGAGAAAACGACAGGATGAAATGAATGGGTGAGAAAACGACAGGATGAAATGTATTGGTGAGAAAACGACAGGATGAAATGAATCGGTGAGAAAACGACAGGATGAAATTAATGGGTGAGAAAACGACAGGATGAAATGAATCGGTGAGAAAACGACAGGATGAAATGAATGGGTGAGAAAACGACAGGATGAAATGAATCGGTGAGAAAACGACAGGATAAAATGAATCGGTGAGAAAACGACAGGATGAAATGAATCGGTGAGAAAACGACAGGATGAAATGAATGGGTGAGAAAACGACAGGATGAAATGAATGGGTGAGAAAACGACAGGATGAAATGAATGGGTGAGAAAACGACAGGATGAAATGAATGGGTGAGAAAACGACAGGATGAAATGAATGGGTGAGAAAACAACAGGATGAAATGAATGGGTGAGAAAACGACAGGATGAAATGAATGGGTGAGAAAACAACAGGATGAAATGAATGGGTGAGAAAACGACAAAAACTGAATAAAACAGTTACTGAGGGTCGGATTGTCCGACTCGCCGTCCGTGATGACGATGGCGAGTTTTGTCGAGTTTTTCCTGGCACCGGCCTTGTGGCGGAACATCCCGGCAGTGTTGACCAAGTTCAAGGCCTTGTCTGTTCGCGTGGTGGAGTTGAGGTAGGGCATGTTTCTCAGGGCCTGTAGGTAGTGTATACAGGTTACAGGTGAGGTGTTACAATCATGAGGTAAGTTTGAGGTAGGGCCTGTAGGTAGTGTATACAGGTGACAGTTGAGGTATTTCAAGGTAAGTTTGACAAGTTTCAATCATTACATGGGACAACAAAGAAACGGTTGGAGATAAATACAGGTGAGTAAATTCTTACACAGTCATGAGACTGTGCCGATGATTGACTTTACCTGTGCCAATGGGTGACTTTACCTGTGCCAACGATTGACTTTACCTGTGCCAATGGGTGACTTTACCTGTGCCGATGATTGACTTTACCTGTGCCGATGATTGACTTTACCTGTGCTGATGGGTGACTTTACCTGTGCCGATGATTGACTTTACCTGTGCCGATGATTGACTTTACCGGTGCGAATGATTGACTTTACTTGTGCCGATGATTGACTTTACCTGTGCCGATGATTGACTTTACCTGTGCCGATGATTGACTTTACTTGTGCGAATGATTGACTTTACTTGTGCGAATGATTGACTTTACTTGTGCGAATGATTGACTTTACCTGTGCCGATGATTGACTTTACCTGTACCGATGATTGACTTTACCTGTGCCGATGATTGACTTTACCTGTGCCGATGATTGACTTTACCTGTGCCGATGATTGACTTTACTTGTGCGAATGATTGACTTTACCTGTGCCGATGATTGACTTTACCTGTGCCGATGATTGACTTTACCTGTGCCGATGATTGACTTTACCTGTTCCGATGATTGACTTTACCTGTTCCGATGATTGACTTTACTTGTACGAATGATTGATTTTACCTCTGTTAACGACTCAATGGTAGGATTGTCCTTCAGATCGAATAACTTTTGGGCATCCCTGCTGAAAATGACAGCACCAAACAGAACATCTTTTGGTCCAACGATCAGGTGGGAGGCCAGTTCTATGGTAAAGTTGATCTGTTTCCGGTAGTTTGTTTTGCCAATACTGCCAGAGGAGTCGATGATGTAGATGATATCAGCCACTGGTTGGCAGGCTAGAGAGGATATTTGTTATAACATAACCAGTCTAATATTGACCGGCTAGAGAGGATATTGTTATAACATAACCAGTCTAATATTGACCGGCTAGAGAGGATATTTGTTATAACATAACCAGTCTAATATTGACAGGCTAGAGAGGATATAACATAACCAGTCTAATATTGACAGGCTAGAGAGGATATAACATAACCAGTCTAATATTGACAGGCTAGAGAGGATATTTGTTATAACATAACCAGTCTAATATTGACAGGCTAGTGAGGATATTTGTTATAACATAACCAGTCTAATATTGACAGGCTAGAGAGGATATTTGTTATAACATAACCAGTCTAATATTGACAGGCTAGAGAGGATATAACATAACCAGTCTAATATTGACAGGCTAGAGAGGATATAACATAACCAGTCTAATATTGACAGGCTAGAGAGGATATAACATAACCAGTCTAATATTGACAGGCTAGTGAGGATATTTGTTATAACATAACCAGTCTAATATTGACAGGCTAGAGACGATATAACATAACCAGTCTAATATTGACAGGCTAGAGAGGATATAACATAACCAGTCTAATATTGACAGGCTAGTGAGGATATTTGTTATAACATAACCAGTCTAATATTGACAGGCTAGAGAGGATATAACATAACCAGTCTAATATTGACAGGCTAGTGAGGATATTTGTTATAACATAACCAGTCTAATATTGACAGGCTAGAGAGGATATTTGTTATAACATAACCAGTCTAATATTGATAGGCTAGAGAGGATATTTGTTATAACATAACCAGTCTAATATTGACAGGCTAGAGAGGATATTTGTTATAACATAACCAGTCTAATATTGACAGGCTAGTGAGGATATTTGTTATAACATAACCAGTCTAATATTGACAGGCTAGAGAGGATATTTGTTATAACATAACCAGTCTAATATTGACAGGCTAGAGAGGATATTTGTTATAACATAACCAGTCTAATATTGACAGGCTAGTGAGGATATTTGTTATAACATAACCAGTCTAATATTGATAGGCTAGAGAGGATATTTGTTATAACATAACCAGTCTAATATTGATAGGCTAGAGAGGATATTTGTTATAACATAACCAGTCTAATATTGACAGGCTAGAGAGGATATTTGTTATAACATAACCAGTCTAATATTGACAGGCTAGAGACGATATAACATAACCAGTCTAATATTGATAGGCTAGAGAGGATATTTGTTATAACATAACCAGTCTAATATTGACAGGCTAGTGAGGATATTTGTTATAACATAACCAGTCTAATATTGACAGGCTAGAGAGGATATTTGTTATAACATAACCAGTCTAATATTGACAGGCTAGAGAGGATATAACATAACCAGTCTAATATTGACAGGCTAGAGACGATATAACATAACCAGTCTAATATTGACAGGCTAGAGAGGATATTTGTTATAACATAACCAGTCTAATATTGACAGGCCAGAGAGGATATTTGTTATAACATAACCAGTCTAATATTGACAGGCTAGTGAGGATATTTGTTATAACATAACCAGTCTAATATTGATAGGCTAGAGAGGATATTTGTTATAACATAACCAGTCTAATATTGACAGGCTAGAGAAGATATTTGTTATAACATAACCAGTCTAATATTGACAGGCCAGAGAGGATATTTGTTATAACATAACCAGTCTAATATTGACAGGCTAGAGTTGACAGGCTAGAGAGGATATTTGTTATAACATAACCAGTCTAATATTGACAGGCTAGAGAGGATATTTGTTATAACATAACCAGTCTAATATTGATAGGCTAGAGAGGATATTTGTTATAACATAACCAGTCTAATATTGACAGGCTAGAGAGGATATTTGTTATAACATAACCAGTCTAATATTGACAGGCTAGAGAGGATATTTGTTATAACATAACCAGTCTAATATTGACAGGCTAGAGAGGATATTGTTATAACATAACCAGTCTAATATTGACAGGCTAGAGAGGATATTTGTTATAACATAACCAGTCTAATATTGACAGGCTAGAGAGGATATTGTTATAACATAACCAGTCTAATATTGACAGCCAGAGAGGATATTGTTATAACATAACCAGTCTAATATTGACAGACTAGAGACGATATAACATAACCAGTCTAATATTGACAGGCTAGAGAGGATATTTGTTATAACATAACCAGTCTAATATTGACCGGCTAGACAGGATATTTGTTATAACATAACCAGTCTAATATTGACAGGCTAGAGAGGATATAACATAACCAGTCTAATATTGACCGGCTAGACAGGATATTTGTTATAACATAACCAGTCTAATATTGACAGGCTAGAGAGGATATAACATAACCAGTCTAATATTGACAGGCTAGAGAGGATATAACATAACCAGTCTAATATTGACAGGCTAGAGAGGATATTTGTTATAACATAACCAGTCTAATATTGACAGGCTAGAGAGGATATTGTTATAACATAACCAGTCTAATATTGACAGGCTAGAGAGGATATAACATAACCAGTTTAATATTGAAAGGCTAGAGAGGATATTTGTTATAACATAACCAGTTTAATATTGACAGGCTAGAGAGGATATTTGTTATAACATAACCAGTCTAATATTGACAGGCTAGAGAGGATATAACATAACCAGTCTAATATTGACAGGCTAGAGAGGATATTTGTTATAACATAACCAGTCTAATATTGACAGGCTAGAGAGGATATTGTTATAACATAACCAGTCTAATATTGACAGCCAGAGAGGATATTGTTATAACATAACCAGTCTAATATTGACAGACTAGAGACGATATAACATAACCAGTCTAATATTGACAGGCTAGAGACGATATAACATAACCAGTCTAATATTGACAGGCTAGAGACGATATAACATAACCAGTCTAATATTGACAGGCTAGAGAGGATATTTTTATAACATAACCAGTCTAATATTGACAGGCTAGAGACGATATAACATAACCAGTCTAATATTGACAGGCTAGAGAGGATATAACATAACCAGTCTAATATTGACAGGCTAGAGACGATATAACATAACCAGTCTAATATTGACAGGCTAGAGACGATATAACATAACCAGTCTAATATTGACAGGCTAGAGAGGATATTGTTATAACATAACCAGTCTAATATTGACAGGCTAGAGAGGATATTTGTTATAACATAACCAGTCTAATATTGACAGGCTAGAGAGGATATTGTTATAACATAACTAGTCTAATATTGACAGGCCAGAGTGGATATTGTTATAACATAACCAGTGTAATATTGACAGACTAGAGAGGATATTACATAACCAGTCTAATATTGACAGGCTAGAGAGGATATAACATAACCAGTCTAATATTGACAGGCTAGAGAGGATATTGTTATAACATAACCAGTCTAATATTGACAGGCTAGAGACGATATAACATAACCAGTCTAATATTGACAGGCTAGAGAGGATATTTGTTATAACATAACCAGTCTAATATTGATAGGCTAGAGAGGATATTTGTTATAACATAACCAGTCTAATATTGACAGGCTAGAGAGGATATTTGTTATAACATAACCAGTCTAATATTGACAGGCTAGAGAGGATATTGTTATAACATAACCAGTCTAATATTGACAGACTAGAGAGGATATTACATCATTATCAGTACAAGTTTTAGCGCAACCTAAATGAAAATATTTTCTTTTTAAGATTCATCTTCATTTATATTTCAATGAATTTCATAAGCTATACACTGCCTAAATTGACAGATAGTAAGTCTGTGAATATAATGTAACAGAATTCAAATAATCCAAATATAATCATATAAGCTTTATAATTTAAGTTACAAATACTTTAATTAAACGTTGAAGAATATGCTTACCGGACTTGTCAACTGAAATACAATCAAATAGTTATTTCAAAGATGTTTGTATAAATTACATATTTTAATATTAATGTAGTCTATTAGATTATTAAATATTGTAATTCTTTTTTTTACTATTTGATTTATATTTGATATACTATTTTGATTACAAATCACAACACCTAAATATAAAATGTAATCAAGTTAATTTTTACCAATTCAATTGTTAACGTTTAGGTTAAAATACGAGAGATAAAGAGTTGAAGTTGATAGAGATTCGTAGTTAGAGTTAAGCTTTAGTGGCTAGAGATTAAGGATTAGAGTTAAGCTTTAGTGGCTAGAGATTTGGGCTTAGAGTTAAGCTTTAGTGGCTAGAGATTAAGGATTAGAGTTAAGCTTTAGTGGCTAGAGATTCGTGGTTAGAGTAAAGCTTTAGTGGCTAGAAATTTGGGCTTAGATTTAAGCTTTAGTGGCTAGATATTTGGATTAGAGTTAAGATTTAGTGGCTAGATATTTGGATTAGAGTTAAGCTTTAGTGGCTAGAGATTTGGATTAGAGTTAAGCTTTCGTGGCGAGAGATTTGGATTAGAGTTAAGCTTTCGTGGCTAGAGATTTGGATTAGAATTAAGCTTTAGTGGCTAGAGATTAAGGATTAGAGTTAAGATTTAGTGGCTAGAGATTTGGATTAGAGTTAAGCTTTATTGGCTAGAGATTTGGATTAGAGTTAAGCTTTCGTGGCTAGAGATTTGGATTAGAATTAAGCTTTAGTGGCTAGAGATTAAGGATTAGAGTTAAGATTTAGTGGCTAGAGATTTGGATTAGAGTTAAGCTTTAGTGGCTAGAGATTTGGATTAGAGTTAAGCTTTAGTGGCTAGAGATTTGGATTAGAGTTAAGCTTTAGTGGCTAGAGATTAAGGATTAGAGTTAAGCTAACCGTTGCAGTAAGGGTAACCAGACGTGGAAATCTCCGAGCTCGTGTCCACGATGCCACCAGACGACACCTTCAAGCTGCAACGGCCGCTGGAGTAGGTGTAGTAGAGGCATCCTGGGTTGGAGGCGCACAGCTCGGAACAGGCCTGTCAGAGGTTCAGTGGGGAGGGGGATGGGGGAGTTCACATTATTCACTACACATGTGGGGAGTTCACATTATTCACTACACATGTGGGGAGTTCACATCATTCACTACACATGTGGGGAGTTCACTTTATTCAATACACATGTGGGGAGTTCACATTATTCACTACACATGTGGGGAGTTCACATTATTCACTACACATGTGGGGAGTTCACATTATTCACTACACATGTGGGGAGTTCACTTTATTCACGACACATGTGGGGAGTTCACATTATTCACTACACATGTGGGAAGTTCACATTATTCACTACACATGTGGGGAGTTCACATTATTCACTACACATGTGGGGAGTTCACATTATTCACTACACATGTGGGGACTTCACATTATTCACTACACATGTGGGGAGTTCACATTATTCACTACACGTGTGGGGACTTCACATCATTCACTACACATGTGGGGAGTTCACATTATTCACTACACATGTGGGGACTTCACATTATTCACTACACATGTGGGGAGTTCACATTATTCACTACACATGTGGGGAGTTCACATTATTCACTACACATGTGGGGAGTTCACATTATTCACTACACATGTGGGGACTTCACATCATTCACTACACATGTGGGGAGTTCACATCATTCACTACACATGCGGGGAGTTCACATCATTCACTACACATGTGGGGAGTTCACATCATTCACTACACATGTGGTGAGTTCACATCATTCACTACACATGTGGGGAGTTCACATCATTCACTACACATGTGGGGAGTTCACATCATTCACTACACATGTGGTGAGTTCACATAATTTAAAACACATCTGGCCCAGTTGTCGGATAAAACTTACCTTAAAACTTAACTTATTATTGACACTTGTCAAACTAGATTGAAACTTACCTTATGATTGTAGACTTTCTGTTCAGTGGTGGTCGCATTCTTGTAGAAAACACAAGCAGCTGAAGTGGAAAATAATCCATTGTTAGAGGTGACATCAAACATGTGTCTCACCTTTTGTAAAGGTGACATCAAACATGTGTCTCACCTTTTGTAAAGGTGACATCAAACATGTGTCTCACCTTTTGTAAAGGTGACATCGAACATGTGTCTCACCTTTGTAAAGGTGACATCAAACATGTGTCTCACCTGTTATAAAGGTGATATCAAACATGTGTCTCACCTTTTGTAAAGGTGACATCGAACATGTGTCTCACCTTTGTAAATGTGACATCAAACATGTGTCTCACCTTTGTAAAGGTGACATCAAACATGTGTCTCACCTGTTATAAAGGTGACATCAAACATGTGTCTCACCTGTGGTAACCTTCGCTTGTTGAAACACAACAGCGACAAAGAATAAAACCAAATACATGGACTCCATCCTGTTATTTTTATATATGTCCCACAGGAATATGCTCTGCAAAATAAAGAACTAACGAATATGGAAGTTTAATAGTAGAGTAAATGTCACCACTAAATAACAATAGATAGAACAGCATTATATTGTATGTGATGTGCAATACACATACATAGTTTTTATTCCAGTAACGTTAATCTAATTCAAAAGTGTCAACTCCACAGTAATAACTATACTATTGTCACAACTACAGTGGTGATTATGCTATTGTCACAGCCATACAGTCTAGAATATGGGCGACCTCGGTACTTCAATATATACAGAGTAACAAGGTTAACACGTTAATATAAAGTAACACAGTCCTTATCTTTAACTGTAGAAGTTCTTAAACTAATAATGTTAGCCATAGTTCTACTGATCTTTATTGAACTAAATATTTGATCCCCATTGATTCAAAGAAATTTTTTCAGACCAGCAGTCGGCGTTAAGAAATATGACAGCGCAATGATCAACTTTTGCATTCTCGCTCGGAGACCTGTGTGCCGAGACCTGAGCCAGTGAACGAGTACACTGTACAATAAAGTCTCTGGAATTCTCGCCAATGACCAGTACAAAAATCCGAATGGCTAGCTGTATAATGCCGGGCGTACATCGTGTACAACATAAAATACTATGACAAAATGGACAGACACAAACTTGACCAACCTGTCCCAGTGAGATGACTGAATGGCTGCAGCTAAGTCAGCTCCAGTATGTTTTCTTATATCACATGTCATCAGTCAATAAAATTTCAATTTACATTTGTTTTTTGTTCTAATGTATAATGTTTTTCAACAATAAGAGAAATATTTGCATTAACATATGATTATTACAAGAATACTAAATGTCATGAAAAAAAAAATTTCATGCAACTTGTTATGTTAATTGTTCGTCTCATAGAGGTATATGTGTTGTGTAATTTGTGATAATGTTTAACCTAGGTGTTCTATAAATTGTGCTGATGTTTGATGTATGTGATGTGTAAATTGTGATGATGTCTGATGTATGTGATGCGTAAGTTGTGATGATGTTTGATCTATGTGATGTATAAATTGTGATGATGTTTGATATATGTGATGTGTAAATTGTGATGATGTTTGATATATGTGATGTGTAAATTGTGCTGATGTTTTTTTTACGAGATTTTATTCTATTTTAAAAAGTTTAAGTATTTAAAATGGATTAAAATTCATGTCTATATCCCGAGTTCCCATCCCCTGTTTTTTATATATAAGAATATTCGAGAGAGTTTAGGGGAGATCGCTCCCGGTTTATTTTTCATAGTCTGTTAATTAGTTTATGAATAGTTTTGTTTTAATTTTTTTTTAATTTAAGCTTTAAGTAATCGATCTCAATCATTTATTTACACTGTTTCATCTTATAGTGTATAGTTTTAAAAAAAACTCTTTTACGTATGCACAAAAGCGAGATAACAGATGACAATCTTTCTGTTGATTTTCTCCCCTGCATGTGACCTCACAAACTCTGATCACACCCGGCTAGCCGCTACTTCTCTGGACAGCAGACGTAGAACTCACACTACCATCCTCACAAAACTTCCAGTAGTCGTCTGGTTGACAGCAGACGTAGAACCCACACTACCATCCTCACAAAACTTCCAGTAGTCGTCTGGTTGACAGCAGACGTAGAACCCACACTACCATCCTCACAAAACTTCCAGTAGTCGTCTGGTTGACAGCAGACGTAGAACCCACACTACCATCCTCACAAAACTTCCAGTAGTCGTCTGGTTGACAGCAGACGTAGAACCCACGCTACCACCCTCACAAAACTTCCCCCAGTAGTCGTCTGCTTGACAGCAGACGTAGAACCCACACTACCATCCTCACAAAACTTCCAGTAGTCGTCTGGTTGACAGCAGACGTAGAACCCACACTACCATCCTCACAAAACTTCCAGTAGTCGTCTGGTTGACAGCAGACGTAGAACCAGGGGCGGAACTACAGTGCCGCCAGACCCCGCAATGCGGGGGGGCCCAGACCGAATGGGGCCCCAAAAATCCCGGCTAAATTATTTAAAAAAAAAAAAATTTAAAATAAAAAATTTAAAAAAAAAAAAAAAAAAAAAAAAAAAAAGGTGGAGGTCGAGTTATCTTTCTTCTACAGTTACAAAAAAAAACACGATAGTCGGCAAACGTCTTTGAAAAAAATGTACAGACTATAGCTCGAGAGACCGCCAGACATATAGACAACTTCAAAGACGCAGGGGCGGAACTACAGTGCCGCCAGACACCGCAATGCGGGGGAGGGGGGCAGACCGATTGGGGGCCCAAAAATCCTGGCTAAATTATTTTTAAAAAAAAATGTTAAAAAAAAAATTAAAACAAAAAAAAATTAATTTTTTTTTTTTAAATTAGGTGGAGGTCGAGTTATCTTTCTTCTACAGTTACAAAAAAACACGATAGTCGGCAAACGTCTTTGAAAAAAATGTACAGAATATAGCTCGAGAGACCGCCAGACATATAGACAACTTCAAAGACGCAGGGGCGGAACTACAGTGCCGCCAGACACCGCAATGCGGGGGAGGGGGGCAGACCGATTGGGGGCCCAAAAATCCTGGCTAAATTATTTTTTTAAAAAAATGTAAAAAAAAAAATTAAAACAAAAAAAAATTAATTTTTTTTTTTTTTAAATTAGGTGGAGGTCGAGTTATCTTTCTTCTACAGTTACAAAAAAACACGATAGTCGGCAAACGTCTTTGAAAAAAATGTACAGAATATAGCTCGAGAGACCGCCAGACATATAGACAACTTCAAAGACGCAGGGGCGGAACAACAGTGCCGCCAGACACCGCAATGCGGGGGGGGGGGGGGGGGGGGGGCAGACCGATGGGGGTCCAAAAATCCTGGCTAAATTATTTTTAAAAAAAAATGTAAAAAAAAAAAAATTTAAAATTATTTTTTTTTTTAAATTAGGTGGAGGTCGAGTTATCTTTCTTCTACAGTTACAAAAAAACACGATAGTCGGCAAACGTCTTTGAGAAAAATGCACAGACTATAGCTCGAGAGACCGCCAGACATATAGACAACTTCAAAGACGTAGCCTACCTTTTTACTTTTAGTGGCGTCGATTAGGAGAACAAAAAAGGATTGTTATATTGTTTACATTATTAAATATATATATATATATATATATATATATATATATATATATATATATATATATATATATATATATATATATATATATATATATATATATGATTGTGTGTTTAAACTACTGGCCTGGACTCTACAAAAAATATAATTATTTATTTCGATGTCATACATTTATAATTGCGTTCATTTTTACTTTAACAACACTGTATCAATAAACTTGTGAAAGTTTAAGTTATCTCCCTTTAGCGAAGCATCTGAAGTTTTTGCCGGCACGCTTTGAAATCGGGCTGGGGAAATGTTGCGGCGACTATTCTGGTCTTCTAGACGACCGGAAAAAGTCGGCACTATTGATGTAGATGTTTATCGGCACTTTCTTGTCCCCTTCCCTTGAACCTTCCCAACTCTCACCCCTCCCCCCTCACCCCCCTCTCACCCCTACCCCTCACCTCTACCCCTCACCACACCCTTACTCTTACAATAAGATGTAATGCATAGATTAACGAACCGTCTATGAACTACTGAACTGTAAACTGACCACTTCTGCACATTTTGTTAAAGACACTAGTCAGTAGTTGTTCATTTACCTGATGAAGTATTTTGTTGACGAGTCTAATTCACACAACAAGGAAGGTAAGGCTCGTCTTTATATTATTAATTGTTTTATAATTAGTACACGTATTAATTGAACATTAGTTATTAACACTAAATACATTAAAGTTAATCAAATTTAGGATACAATGATCTAGCTTTTAAGGCTGAAAACAACCAAAAGATCTATATCACCTTTGAATGTATTAATGTTTAATTTCATGTTTAGCCCGTAACGGGGAGGGGTTATATTCGGTTATAATATGGGTGGGTCTTTGGCAGTGTTTCTTCCAGACGTTTCTCTTCGGGGGGGGGGGGGGGGCGCTTGAAATTTTCGGAGGGGGGGGGGGGGCGGGCACTGTTAAAAGTATATATTTTCTATATAAATTATATAAAATTAATTTCTTTCTGGGGGGGGGGGGTGACACCATTAAGTGCCGCACCGGGTGACACCCGACCTCGCTACGCCACTGCACCCGATATATATATATATATATATATATATATATATATATATATATATATATATATATATATATATATATATATATATATACATATAGATATATATATATATATAGGGGCCTAAAAAAAATTTTTGCGGGGGGGCCATTTTTTTCTAGTTCCGCCACTGCGTAGAACCCACACTACCATCCTCACAAAACTTCCCCCAGTAGTCGTCTGGTTGACAGCAGACGTAGAACCCACACTACCATCCTCACAAAACTTCCAGTAGTCGTCTGGTTGACAGCAGACGTAGAACCCACACTACCATCCTCACGAAACTTCCCCCAGTAGTCGTCTGGTTGACAGCAGACGTAGAACCCACACTACCATCCTCACAAAACTTCCAGTAGTCGTCTGGTTGACAGCAGACGTAGAACCCACACTACCACCCTCACAAAACTTCCCCCAGTAGTCGTCTGGTTGACAGCAGACGTAGAACCCACACTACCACCCTCACAAAACTTCCAGTAGTCGTCTGGTTGACAGCAGACGTAGAACCCACACTACCACCCTCACAAAACTTCCCCCAGTAGTCGTCTGGTTGACAGCAGACGTAGAACCCACACTACCACCCTCACAAAACTTCCAGTAGTCGTCTGGTTGACAGCAGACGTAGAACCCACACTACCACCCTCACAAAACTTCCCCCAGTAGTCGTCTGGTTGACAGCAGACGTAGAACCCACACTACCACCCTCACAAAACTTCCCCCAGTAGTCGTCTGGTTGACAGCAGACGAAGAACCCACACTACCACCCTCACAAAACTTCCCCCAGTAGTCGTCTGGTTGACAGCAGACGTAGAACCCACACTACCACCCTCACAAAACTTCCCCCAGTAGTCGTCTGGTTGACAGCAGACGTAGAACCCACACTACCACCCTCACAAAACTTCCCCCAGTAGTCGTCTGGTTGACGTCAAGTCCTATAACAATTTGCTCCTATCAGTCTCACCCAGTGTTTGCATCTCAAAAGTGTTTTCACCGTGTGATAACATGTGCTGTCATAGCTGTCGTAGCTGTCTTCTGAGTGTCCCACTACGTCAGTCGAGGTGGACAGCTGGTGATGGGAGGATGATATGAACACGTGCAACTGAAGTACTCATCTCCAACAAAAGACTCTCATCGTTCAGTGTAATACAACATGTGACAACCTCATTAATCACCCCTGCTCCCTTAGCAAATGGTATCTTAGATATAACATCAGATAACCAGTTCACGTGCAATGTTTTTATGTCATTTAGGTTCCTGTAACCTACGCTAGCTTCAGTTTTCCTTCACTTCGGTTTAAGCAAATTATGAGGATTTTGGAAGGCTCGATCAGAGAATGGTTTGCATCAGTAATGTAAAAGCCCAGTATGATAAAGTTAGTCTTACTAGGTATTTAATTAACCTGGGCTAATCAATTTAAGAATTTTTTATTCTCTCATGTGTGTAGGTGTGTAGGGAGTAGCTACATTCTACATGTGTGTAGTGAGTGGCTACATTGTGTAGGTGTGTAGGGAGTAACTACATTGTGTAGGTGTGTAGGGAGTAGCTACATTGTGTAGGTGTGTAGGGAGTAACTACATTGTGTAAGTGTGTAGGGAGTAGCTACATTGTACATGTGTTTGTGTGTAGTGATTGGCTACATTGTGTATGTGTGTAGTGAGTAGCTACATTGTACATGTATGGACTGCGGCCAGCCTTAAGCAACCAAGATGAACACGATGCCCTTGAGTATGGCTGCACAGCCAACACCACACAGCTCAACTATTTCAAATCGACTGATCTAGGGTTTTACAAGAACTATAACTCTTGTCTTTAAATGAGGAACATAATTACACGAGTTGTTGCCCAAAAAAAAATTGTTTTATTTTAGACCAAATTTCACATTGAAATCAGTCACAGAACCAAATTCGACCATAACAAGAACACGATAGTTAAATAAAACAAAATTCTGGGTAAATGCAAATATTTATTGAGGTAAATTAGTGCTAGACACATCTACATCATTTGAAGATCAGGTGATCTGTGGCATTTTGTGTCGGTGTTGCTACATGCTCTCTGTATAGCAGATAATCAAGGGATAATAAAATAACTAGTTGTTAACACAAGGCATCTTAAACAACTAGAAATTAACACAACACATCTTAAACAACTAGACATGAACACAACACATCTTAAATTACTAGACATTAACACATATTAAATTACTAGACATTAACACAACACATCTTAAACAACTAGATTTCAATAGACGTGTCATTAATGCAAAACACTTTAACCAACGAGTCTTAACACAACATACTCTAAAGAGCTAGTTGAAAACAATCAGCAACCAACATACACAAAAACATTATTCACTAGCAAATATTCAAACTAACGCTAAAATAAAATGACACATTCAAATACTTACAGTCACAGTCTAGGCCCTGGGCTGGTGAGATAAAACAGGTATTAAGGACATTTGGTGAGATAAAACAGGTGTTAAGGACATTTGGTGAGAGATAAATCAGGTGTTAAGGACATTTGGTGAGATAAAACGGGTAATAAGGACATTCGGTGAGATAAAACAGGTGTTAAGGACATTTGGTGAGATAAAACAGGTGATACGGACATTTGGTGAGATAAAACGGGTAATAAGGACATTCGGTGAGATAAAACAGGTCTAAAGGACATTTGGTGAGAGAAGACAGGTGATAAGGACATTTGGTGAGATTAAACGGGTGTTAAGGACATTTGGTGAGAGTAGACAGGTGTTAAGGACATTTGGTGAGATAAAACAGGTGTTAATGACATTTGGTGAGAGAAGAGAAGGCATTTAGTTTAAACGTCTTTACATATGTCCACGTCAGTTGTGACTTACCCGTGGCGCATGCGCGGCTGATGACCTGGGAGACGATCTGCTTGAGGGCATCAAAGCTGCTGGCCCTGAAGACGTTCTCCCTGCTGCTAGCGATGGCCTGGAGCTCACTGTCCTGCGCCTTGCCGATGCCTACAGTTATGATCTCAATGGCCTTGGCCTTGATGCGGTCAGCAGCTGCCGAGGCTGAAGTGGGCAGTTTTTAAATGAGAACACAAAAATGTCTCATGACCGTAGGTCAGGAAGGGAAAAATGATAAACTTACAAATGTTTTTTTTTTAAGTTTACTGAGTGCTGGGTTGTCTGTTTAAAAAGTTTGCTGAGTGCTGGGTTGTTAATTTAAAAAGTTTACTTAGTGCTGGGTTGTCAATTTTAAAAAGTTTACTTAGTGCTGGGTTGTCAATTTTAAAAAGTTTAATGAGTGCTGGGTTGTTAATTTAAAAAGTTTACGAGTGCTGGGTTGTTAATTTAAAATGTTTACTGAGTTCTGGGTTGTCAATTTAAAAGTTTAATGAGTGCTGGGTTGTTAATTTAAAATGTTTACTGAGTTCTGGGTTGTCAATTTAAAAGTTTAATGAGTGCTGGGTTGTTAATTTAAAAGTTTACTGTGTGCTGGGTTGTTAATTTAAAAAGTTTACTGAGTGCTGGGTTGCTAATTTAAAAAGTTTACTGAGTGCTGGGTTGCTAATTTAAAATGTTTACTGAGTGCTGGGTTGCTAATTTAAAAAGTTTAATGAGTGCTGGGTTGTCAATTTAAAAAGTTTACTGAGTGCTGGGTTGTTAATTTAAAAAGTTTACTGAGTGCTGGGTTGCTAATTTAAAATGTTTACTGAGTGCTGTGTTGCTAATTTAAAAAGTTTAATCAGTGCTGGGTTGTCAATTTAAAAAGTTTACTGAGTGCTGGGTTGTTAATTTTTAAAAAAAGTTTACTGAGTGCTGGGTTGTTAATTTAAAAAAAAAGTTTACTGAGTGCTGGGTTGTCAGAGAGGCCATCAGTGATTACAATCAGCAACTTGGTAGAACCGTCTCTTGCTCCAGCCTCTCTACGGAACATTCCAGCCGTCTCTACCAGGTCCAGTGCCTGGTCAGTCTTTGTGGTCGAGTTCAGGTAGGGCGTGTTCCTGAGCGCCTGCATGGAGGGTCAGAATGATAAACTGGACAACATCAACAATGGTCAACTAGACAACAGCAGCAATGGTAAACTAGGGACAATCAGACAACAGCAGCAATGGTAAACTAGGGACAATCAGACAACAGCAGCAATGGTAAACTGGACAACATCAACAATGGTCAACTAGACAACAGCAGCAATGGTAAACTAGGGACAATCAGACAACAGCAACAATGATCAACTAGAGCCATTTAGACAACATCAACAATGGTCAGCTAGAGCCAATGAGACAATATCAGCAATGGTCAATATGGCCAATTAAAAACAGTAATACAATCGTTATCCAGTGACCATGAATATACAGTTGGCGTCAGTTAAATATTTTAAAAGTTGATCAATTCCGTTACCAGGGCCAATGACGCACGTGTGGGGTTGTCCTTCAGGTCAAACCACTTCTGTGCCACGTGACTAAAGATGACAGCACCAAACAGGACGTCGTTGTTCCCAATGATGAAGTTGGAGGCCAGGTCTGTGGTAAAGTTGATCTGTTTCTGGTAGTTGAGGGGACCAATTGAACCAGACGAGTCGAGGATGTATATGACGTCTGCTAGAGGCTGGCACGCTGAAGTTATCAAACGACGACTTTGAAACAACTACACTCCTTTTCTAATTAGTTTAAATTTATTTCAACAGTCTAAACTCAAATTTTACTCCTTAAGATTCATAAACGGATCAAATTACTATATTTACTAGAATATTCTTAAAATGATTAAATTTGTTTCGTTTTATTATATTTTTAGGAACATGTTTGTATATTACTGAAATGAAAATGCGACAAGAACAAAATTTATGCAAGGGATAAACTCTTACCGGGTTTAGCAGCTGTGGATACAAAATAGGTCATTAGTCATCAATTAATGAAAATAATGAGTCATTTTTGCTGATTCAAACAATGAGTCATTTATTTTTTTACATTAAGCAATGAGTAATTTATTTTTGTAGATACGAAGAAGCTAGTATATACAAACAAATAATTTTCCTCTATTATGTTTGGCACGTCAACCGATTACATAAATCATTATAAACTCATAAAATATCAATCTACCATATCAGTCGACATCGTCTTGTGTCACTGAAAAATAATTCAGGGTGGGGGTGTCATTGAAACAAATAGGGGGTGGGGGATTAAAATATCCTAAAATGTTAAATTTTGCTGTTAAATTATATAGAACTAAAGGCCATATGGAGTAATAAAGAGCTAAATATCTAATTAAACATTTTAAATTAAAACTCATACATACCAGGTACAGATGGTGCTGCATATTGATATATAAAGTTAATCACATTAAAGCAGGAAATACACTGATCAACATTTCAACAATAATAACATTCATTGAAAGTATTGTGTTTGTCTTGTGTTCAAAAGTTACCCATTCAATCAATAATATGTAACAATATCACGTTATTTGTTGTCTGATACTAGCTGATAAGTCAGTCTAGCTTTACCAGACAAATAATGCCACAGGTTGGTGCCATAAGATAATACCACACTTAAACTGTTATCATACTAGATGTTTTCAAAGATACATTTTAACAAATTTGCTGTTATTCAATAGAATATATTTTCTTACCGGTTTCGCCTGTAAAGAAAGAAAAAAAAATTATTTAAAGTTTTGGAAAAACATTGAAGATGAAGGATATTTACTTAAATAGATATTTTTTTTTAAAATAGAGCTAGATTTACTCCATCTTAAGAATCTTAAGAAAAAAATCTTACCACTTTCAACAATCTGTTCTCTACCACCAGAGGCTATAGAAGAGTAGAAAGAAGTTGATTATTTCGTTAAAATTTGATGTGCCTAATTTTTTTATAAGTCTCATGTAAAATACAACGGTGTCAATTATTGAATGAAACAACTGACGCCATCAGACAATGTGTGACCTACCCCTGCACAAACATGTGACCCACCCCTACACAAACATGTGACCCACCCCTACACTAACACGTGACCCACCCCTGTACAAACACGTGACCTACCCCTGCCCAAACACGTGACCCACCCCTGCCCAAACACGTGACCCACCCCTGCCCATACACGTGACTCACCCCTGCACGTGCGCTGTACCAGCTGATACAGCACACTGTCCAGCACCTCGTACGTGTTGGAGAAGAACACGTGATCAGGACTGCTGGCTAACTTGAGCAGCTCGTTGTTGGCGTCCTCCTGGAACAGGTTGAGCCCGAAGAAGGTCGAGCCGACCCCTACCACGAAGATCAAGACCCCCTGACCCCTCAGGCTGGCGGCGGCTTGTGCAGCTGGTGGAGAAATTCCATTTATTTTACATCAGCTAACAGGATATTTACTTGTAACAGTCAATTAATGTTGAAAATACAAGGATAAAATAATTATTGTTATCTTGCTATTATCGAGTTAGTGTTTGTTAAAGAAGCAATTGCGCCATTTATTTGCTGTCATTTAGTTAGACTGACCACTGACCACATAAACTTACCAACTGTCGGGTAGTTAGACTGACCACTAACCACATAAACTTACTAGCTGTCGGGTAGTTAGACTGACCACTGACCACATAAACTTACTAGCTGTCGGGTTGTTGGACTGACCACTGACCACATAAACTTACCAACTGTGGGGTAGTTAGACTGACCACTGACCACATAAACTTACCAACTGTGGGGTAGTTAGACTGACCACTGACCACATAAACTTACTAGCTGTCGGGTTGTTGGACTGACCACTAACCACATAAACTTACTAGCTGTCGGGTAGTTAGACTGACCACTAACCACATAAACTTACTAGCTGTCGGGTAGTTAGACTGACCACTGACCACATGAACTTACTAGCTGTCGGGTTGTTGGACTGTCCGTCTGTTATGACAACCAGAACGTCCGGGGCGTTAACTCTGCCTCCGTTGGCCGTACCAAACATGTTGCTGTCAGCGACTAGGTTTAGGGCTTTGTCTGTGTAGGTGGCGCCAGCCGTGTAGGGCGTGTCTAGGATAGCCTGAATGGAAAACACGTTCAGCATAAGAACTTTACTTACGGTGATACAATATGAAAAGCAAGAGGAACCCACATTGTATAAAGCGGCACCTGTCTAGAACCCGCCTTGTAGAGAGCTGCACCTGTCTAGAACCTACCTGGTAAAGTACGACACCTCTCTAGCTAGAACCCACCTGGTATAGAACGGCACCTGTCTAGAACCCACCTGGTATAGAACTTCTCCTGTCTAGAACCCACCTGGTATAGAACTTCTCCTGTCTAGAACCCACCTGGTATAGAACTTCACCTGTCTACAACCCACCTGGTATAGAACTTCACCTGTCTAGAACCCACCTGGTATAGAACTTCTCCTGTCTAGAACCCACCTGGTATAGAACTTCTCCTGTCTAGAACCCACCTGGTATAGAACTTCTCCTGTCTAGAACCCACCTTGTATAGAACTGCAACTGTCTAGAACCCACCTGGTATAAAACTTCTCCTGTCTAGAACCCACCTGGTATAGAACTTCTCCTGTCTAGAACCCACCTGGTATAGAACTTCTCCTGTCTAGAACCCACCTGGTATAGAACTTCACCTGTCTAGAACCCAGCTGGTATAGAACTGCACCTGTCTAGAAACCACCTGGTATAGAACTTCTCCTGTCTAGAACCCACCTGGTATAGAACTTCACCTGTCTAGAACCCACCTGGTATAGAACTTCTCCTGTCTAGAACCCACCTGGTATAGAACTTCTCCTGTCTAGAACCCACCTGGTATAGAACTTCTCCTGTCTAGAACCCACCTGGTATAGAACTTCTCCTGTCTAGAACCCACCTGGTATAGAACTTCTCCTGTCTAGAACCCACCTGGTATAGAACTGCACCTGTCTAGAACCCACCTGGTATAGAACTTCTCCTGTCTAGAACCCACCTGGTATAGAACTTCTCCTGTCTAGAACCCACCTGGTATAGAACTTCACCTGTCTAGAACCCACCTGGTATAGAACTTCTCCTGTCTAGAACCCACCTGGTATAGAACTTCTCCTGTCTAGAACCCACCTGGTATAGAACTTCACCTGTCTAGAACCCACCTGGTATAGAACTTCTCCTGTCTAGAACCTGTGACCTACTTAGGTCGAGTCATTTTTATTTTGACATTGTACAATTCCTTATATGGAATGATTGTGTAACACCTGGGGTTTTTCCATTGACTATTAAGGTGTTTGAGATATAGAAAATTTCCATTAAAATCTGATTGAATGATTCTGATCAGATGATTATCCCAACCAATGGCGACATGAGTTGAGGATAACCTCCCCTGTCACAGAAGTCTTTAATTGCCCCGCACACTCGCAACACGAGGCAGTTTATCTTGACCTGGCAGTCTACGAGGCAGTTTTACCTTGGTCAGGCAGCCGTCCACATTGTCCGGCTATAGACTCTGACCGTTTGAACGTGAGAGTACTTAAGACCTGTGTGTGCCTTGCTTTCTTCAGTTGATTTAATCTTCTAGTTTAATATTACTTGTCGCTAAGTAATTCTAGAAACTACAGCAGTGTTGTGTGGCCTGTAGCTGTTCTTTAGACAGTGTAGAAATCTGTGATAGTGTTTTTTCCTACATTGTGTAAGTTGGGTTTTGATATGTTATACATTAAATATTTTATTTAGTACAACCTTGTGTTCTGCCACTTCTGAGTTCGCTGATTAAAAGGTCGTATGTAGATTGGATGAGTGTTAATTACAATAGTATCACTAGCTTCCCTAGACATTAAATTCGAGCCCTAGTGGGTCGTTGTGTTAAGTATTCATCCACTTAGGCCGTAAGGCATTTGCATATGACCCCGAAAAAAGAATCCGGGGACGTTCTCCTTCTATTTGGCTGATAGATAGGTTAACGTTACAAAGTGGGGGCTCGTCCGGGATTTAATCTGTCGTTCCAGTTGTTGGTTATATCAGTTGAATACTAAGGTTAGTTGGATTTAGTTGTTTTTATATCCAGTAGCGCAGTGTTCTTACAACGCGCGCTCAGGCTAGAGTATCTAGGTCAAATAAGCAGACGTGTCGTCCTAGATTGAAGAGGTCAAGTACACGGCCCAACGCTGTGTATTAATTTAAAGAATCTAGGCTTGTTGTGATTTTCAAGTTAGTGTTATGAGTGTTATGGAGTCTTTTTTGGCTAATCCTACTGTTGAAGATGTAGAAAAGTTGAGTAGAAAAGTTTTGGTTAGTGTTGTTAAGGAATTGAAATTGGATTATTCTGTTACGCAGAAGTCAGAGGTGTTGAGAGATAAAATTGTTGTTCATTTCATTAATGAAGGGGTATTTGATGAAAGTTTGTTGGCTGGTGTATTACTTCGTGAGGAGAAAGTTGCTTTAGAGAAGGCATTAAAAGAACAGGAGTTAAAGGTTAAAATTGCTTTAGATAGGAGGAGGTTGGAATCAGAATTTGGTCAAGTTAGTGATGTCACTTCTCTGGTAGATCCAAAAAAGTTGTCGGTAGGGCAAGTGATTGCCAAATTTGGGAAATTAGTGCCTAAATTTGATGAAACAGATTTGGTCGTTTTCTTTAACTCGTTTGAGAGTTTAGCGAAGACATGTGAATGGCCCGAAACTTCCATTACTGCCTTATTGAGCTCTGTCCTTACTGGGAAAGCTGCAAAAACATACCAGGCACTCTCTCACGACGTTCAAAATAACTATAGTTTGGTCAAGACTGCCATTTTAAAGGCCTACGCACTGACGCCCGAGGCCTATCGGACAAAATTCCGAACACTCCGCAAGTTACCCACACAATCATATGTGGAATTTCTCTTTGAAAAGGAGAAAATATTCTCAAGGTGGCTACACTCTGAGGAAGTTTCTGAGTTTGAGAAACTCAGGTCACTTATCCTAAGGGAAGAATTCCTATCGTCCCTGCCTGAAGAGATACGACTACACATTCTGGATAACAAGATAACTGACATCCAGAAGGCTGCTGAGTCGGCTGACACCTATATGTTGGTGCATAAGAAACCACCAGTGTCAGGAAACCGCCTCAACCCCGTGCTCCCCCTTTTTGGCAGCAATCATCCTGTTGGCCAACATTTGAAGACATTACAGTCCAGAGAGAACCCAAGATCAACTCTCAATCGTCGAGCAGCATGCCAGTTCTGCAAAAGGCCTGGTCACCATGTCAAGGACTGTTACAAACGTCTTCAGAATAACAGAGAGGTGGTGCGTACTTCCGCGCACTATGCTCTATCCCCTCAAGCAGCCAGTTCAACTATGAACTCTAGAATTCAAAAGGACTCTAACCCTAAGCGTCCGCAAGAAGGTAGTCAAGTCTCCACACATTATGTGCAGTCACATTTTGACTGTTCTCGCCACCATCCAGTTTCTTCCGAGTCTACCGATCTCGAGGGATCGAGAAAAGTTGACTTTTCATCTTTTATTGCTGAAGCCATCATTAGCAAACCAGGTGATCCGTTGTCTCAGAAGAATATCACCGTTCTAAGAGACACAGGAGCGTCACAATCACTCCTTTTGAAAAGTTCAATGGACATTACACCAGAGACGAACACCGGAAGGATTTCCATTATCCAGGGAGTGGGGAAAAAATCTACTGTCGTCCCTCTACACAAGTTTGCCCTGAAACATCATCTCGTCGAAGGTGAGGTCATTTTAGGTGTGATAGATAGTATTCCTGTCCCAGGAGTACACCTACTTCTAGGGAATGACCTTGCGGGAAGCAAAGTATACCCCTGTACGGTTTCAGACCCTTTGTCAACAGTTCCAGATAATGATAATGAACTGTATCCTGCATGTGCGGTGACAAGAAGCCAGACCAAACAATTGGCTGACATCACGTCTGAACCACACCCGCCATCATCGTCAAGAAATTCGACTCCCAAACTGGAGTCTATGCTTCCAGAAAACACAAGCCTGGGCTTACCCCTGAGGATATCTCAGGAAGACATCATTAAAGCTCAACAAGTCGACGCGGAACTCAAAGCAACGGTCGAAAAATCTCTATCATCTGACGATGGAGAATATTTCTCCGAGAACGGCCTCTTCTTTCGTCGCGCTATACCAGTGAATGCCTCACCAGCCGAACCATGGTTGGGTAAAAACCAGCTGTGGGTCCCTCCACCTTATCGGCATGAAATACTTAAGCTGGCACATGACCATCCAATGTCAGCGCACCCAGGAGTCTCTAAAACGACGGCGAAGATCAAAGAACTGTTCTTTTGGCCCAAAATGAGAAAAGATGTGTCGCGTTACTGCAGAAGTTGCACGAACTGTCAGTTGGCCGGAAAGCCAAACCAGACAATTCCTAAGGCCCCTTTGAGTCCGATTCCTGTATTAGAAGAACCCTTTTCAAAAATCGTCATGGACTGTGTAGGTCCCTTGCCTAAAACCAAGGCGGGCAACGAGTACCTACTTACCTTTATGTGTTCAAGTACCCGTTTTCCCGAGGCGATTCCCTTACGGAACATTAAGGCAAAGACTGTAGTCAGAGCCATGACCCGGTTCTTCACTACCTTTGGATTACCTAGAATCGTGCAAACAGATCAAGGCAGCAACTTCACCAGTCACCATTTTCAGGAAGCACTAGCCAAGCTAGGCGTTACCCACATCACCAGCTCAGCCTACCACCCTCAGTCTCAAGGCGTACTTGAGAGGTTCCACCAAACCCTCAAAACCATGTTAAGAACGTTCGCTAACAGTAACACCCAATGGGATGAGACTGTTCCTTGGATTATTTTCGCCGCGAGGGACTGTGTCCAGGACTCTTTAGGCTACTCGCCTTTTCAACTTGTGTTTGGACATTCTGTCCGTGGTCCCCTGAAGCTGATACACGAACGTTGGACAGGTACCAGTGATCATCCAGTGGAAAACTTCGACGATTTTCACGTTCGACTGAAAGCCGTGTGCGAAATGGCTCACAAGAACTTAAGAAAGGCCCAAGTGAGAATGAATGGACTGTATGATAAGAGTTCTTGTAAACGAACATTCAATCCAGGCGACAAAGTTCTTGTGCTAGTGCCTAATCTGGACAATGCGTTATCCTTGAGATATTGTGGACCCTTTACTGTGCATTCAAAATTAAGTGATTTGAACTATGTTGTCAATACGCCCGACAGAAGAAAGAAACAGACAGTGTATCATGTCAACTCACTGAAAAAATATTATGATAATTGTAACAATTTTCAATCCACAGCTAAAATTACTTTACCTGTATGTTCAAATGTTTCTGATGATGTGATACATGATAAATTGAAACCCCCAAAATTGGTAAATTCTTCCTTTTTAGATAATTTGAATGTCCACCTTATGCATTTGTCCACAGAGGAAAGCCATAGATTGTCTCAGTTATTTGAGACATTTCCCTCTATTTTTGGGGATGTCCCCAAAGAAGCGAAGGTTCCACCTCATGATGTAGACGTTGGTGACGCAAAACCCATTAAACAACACCCCTATAGAGTTAACCCGGAAAAAGCTGCTTTGATAAAAGATGAAATTGATTATATGCTCAAGAATGATATCATTGAGCCCAGTTTCAGCAACTGGAGTTCCCCATGTCTCCTAGTCCCGAAAGACGGTGGATCTTTCAGGTTTGTGACCGACTTTAGGAAGGTGAATGCGCTCACCAAAGCTGATTCCTATCCCTTACCTCGGATAGAGGACGTTATTGATAAAGTTGGTCAGGCTAAGATAATTTCCAAAATTGATTTACTTTCAGGATACTGGCAAATCCCCTTATCTGACCGTGCAAAAGAAATATCTGCTTTTGTAACCCCTAATGGTTTTTATAGATACAAACGCATGCCCTTTGGTATGCGAAATGCTGGTCAAACTTTCCAGAGGGTCATTAACTCTGTCATTGCTGACATAGACCAATGTGAGGCCTACATAGATGATATAGTTGTATTTTCTAATACTTTTGAAGAACATATTGTTCAATTGACTAACCTTTTTAGAAAATTGTCTGAAGTGAATTTTACTGTAAACTTACATAAAAGTGATTTCTGTAAAGCTTCAATTACCTATTTGGGTTATCAAGTGGGAACGAACCAAGTTCGGCCCATTGAAGCTAAAGTAGATGCTATTGTAAGGTTACCACCTCCCAAAAATTGTAAAGAGATCAAAAAGTTCCTTGGGATGGCTGGTTACTATAAGCGGTTCTGTCAAAACTTTTCAGCTATTGCTGAACCTCTTACTGCATTATTGAAAAAGGGTGTTGAATTTGAATGGTCCAATAAATGTCAAGAAGCTTTTTTAACCATTAAGTCATTTTTATCAAATGCTCCTGTTATGGCTGCACCAAATTTTAGCAAGCCCTTTAAACTTGCCATTGATGCTAGCAACTTAGCCATTGGCTCAGTCCTATTTCAAGAAGACAACATGGGAATTGACCATCCCATTGCCTTTTTTTCCAGGAAGTTAAATGAGAACCAAAAGAATTATTCTACTATTGAAAAAGAAGCTTTAGCTTTGGTTTTATCATTACAACATTTTGAAGTCTATGTCTCTTCTTCAACCAATCCAGTCAGAGTGTTTTCTGACCATGATCCCCTGAAATTTACCTCTAAGTTAGGACAGACAAATCAAAGAATATTGAGATGGTGCTTATATTTCCAAAATTTTAATCTGGAAATTTCACACATTAAGGGTAGTGATAATGTTGTGGCTGATTGTTTGTCAAGGATGTAAAATCTTGTTACACACATTGATCATGTGACACGCTTTGTGGTTCATTAGGACCATAAACAGGTTTTGTTTGAGTGTCACTCATATGAAAATGAGTGGTGTGAGTTAGAATTTTTCAAAATTCCAATCCTGTTGAATATTTTGTTTATTTTCAGGTGAACCTTAATTAAAGGTGGTTTTTGATTATATGTAATCTTTTATAATAATATGTCTCATATGACTCAATTGATATTGTAGCTAGTCATTGAAATAAAGGTCTTACCCTGGCGGGTTTACCACTTTTAATATCCACATGGAAATATTGTATTACCCTTTTTTGAGGGAATTTGATGTATAATTACTTTTTGAAGGGTTACTCCCCTTTCACCAATTGTAAAAGTTGGAGTTACTTCCCTTTTATGTTCAGGGATATTTTCATATGGTATTATGATTTTGATTGCCTACATTTGTAAAACATTTTTGTTATTTCATTGCCAGATTGGTTCCTTATGTATGTTTTTGTGGAACCTATCTGTCACTTCCAAAAAGGGAGGGGATGTGACCTACTTAGGTCGAGTCATTTTTATTTTGACATTGTACAATTCCTTATATGGAATGATTGTGTAACACCTGGGGTTTTTCCATTGACTATTAAGGTGTTTGAGATATAGAAAATTTCCATTAAAATCTGATTGAATGATTCTGATCAGATGATTATCCCAACCAATGGCGACATGAGTTGAGGATAACCTCCCCTGTCACAGAAGTCTTTAATTGCCCCGCACACTCGCAACACGAGGCAGTTTATCTTGACCTGGCAGTCTACGAGGCAGTTTTACCTTGGTCAGGCAGCCGTCCACATTGTCCGGCTATAGACTCTGACCGTTTGAACGTGAGAGTACTTAAGACCTGTGTGTGCCTTGCTTTCTTCAGTTGATTTAATCTTCTAGTTTAATATTACTTGTCGCTAAGTAATTCTAGAAACTACAGCAGTGTTGTGTGGCCTGTAGCTGTTCTTTAGACAGTGTAGAAATCTGTGATAGTGTTTTTTCCTACATTGTGTAAGTTGGGTTTTGATATGTTATACATTAAATATTTTATTTAGTACAACCTTGTGTTCTGCCACTTCTGAGTTCGCTGATTAAAAGGTCGTATGTAGATTGGATGAGTGTTAATTACAATAGTATCACTAGCTTCCCTAGACATTAAATTCGAGCCCTAGTGGGTCGTTGTGTTAAGTATTCATCCACTTAGGCCGTAAGGCATTTGCATATGACCCCGAAAAAAGAATCCGGGGACGTTCTCCTTCTATTTGGCTGATAGATAGGTTAACGTTACAAACCCACCTGGTATAGAACTTCTCCTGTCTAGAACCCACCTGGTATAGAACTTCTCCTGTCTAGAACCCACCTGGTATAGAACTTCTCCTGTCTAGAACCCACCTGGTATAGAACGGCACCTGTCTAGAACCCACCTGGTATAGAACTTCACCTGTCTAGAACCCACCTGGTATAGAACTTCACCTGTCTAGAACCCACCTGGTATAGAACTTCTCCTGTCTAGAACCCACCTGGTATAGAACTTCTCCTGTCTAGAACCCACCTGGTATAGAACTTCTCCTGTCTAGAACCCACCTGGTATAGAACTTCTCCTGTCTAGAACCCACCTGGTATAGAACTTCACCTGTCTAGAACCCAGCTGGTATAGAACTGCACCTGTCTAGAAACCACCTGGTATAGAACTTCTCCTGTCTAGAACCCACCTGGTATAGAACTTCTCCTGTCTAGAACCCACCTGGTATAGAACTTCACCTGTCTACAACCCACCTGGTATAGAACTGCACCTGTCTAGAACCCACCTTGTAGAGAGCGACAGGGTCCGTGTAATCCTTCAAGTGGAACCACTTCTGGGCGCTGTTGCTGAAAACGACCTCGCCAACTCTGACGTCATTAGGGCCCAGGGTGAAGGACGCGGCCAGGTTAGACACGAACGATAACTGTCGTTTGAAGTTTGTCGAACCGATGCTACCAGAGGCGTCCAGCACGAACAAGATGTCTGCCACTGCCTTACACTGGATGGGTAGTGGCGCTAGAACAACAACATTAGCAGGTTGTGGTGGTAGAACATTAGCAGGTAGTGGTGGTAGAACAAAAACATTATCAGGTAGTGGTGGTAGAACAACAACATTAGCAGGTAGTGATGATAGAACAACAACATTAGCAAGTTGTGATGGTAGAACAACATGAAACGTAGGACGGTTAACTTACCAACTGAACTACCTAGAACGGTTAACTTACCAACTGAACTACCTAGAACGGTTAACTTACCAACTGAACCACCTAGAACGGTTAACTTACCAACTGAACCACCTAGAACGGTTAACTTACCAACTGAACCACCTAGGAAGTTTAACTTACCAACTGAACTACCTAGAACGGTTAACTTACCAACTGAACCACCTAGAACGGTTAACTTACCAACTGAACCACCTAGAACGGTTAACTTACCAACTGAACCACCTAGGACGGTTAACTTACTAACTGAACTACCGAGGACGTTTAACTTACCAACTGAACTACCTAGGACGGTTAACTTACCAACTGAACCACCTATGACGGTTAACTTACCAACTGAAACACCTAGAACGGTTAACTTACCAACTGAACCACCTAGAACGGTTAACTTACCAACTGAACCACCTAGAACGGTTAACTTACCAACTGAACTACCACCTGGTCCTGTAAAGTAAAAAAGAAATGCGATGAACAACTCGTTTTTGTCTATTATTTCAGTTCTAGTTTTTACTGTCTTTATCTTGTACAAACTTTACACGGTATAAACTGTCTTACACGGTATTAACTTACTGTCTTTACACGGTATAAACTTACTGTCTTTACACGGTATAAACTGTCTTTACACGGTATAAACTGACTGTCTTTACACGGTATTAACTTACTGTCTTTACACGGTATAAACTTTCTGTCTTTATCTTGTACTGACTTTACACGGTATAAACTTACTGTCTTTACACGGTATATACTAACTGTCTTTACACGGTATAAACTGTCTTTATCTTGTAAAATCTTTACATGATATAAACTCACTGTCTTTACATGATATAAACTTATTGTCTTTACACGGTATAAACTATAAACTGACTGTCTTTACACGGTATAAACTTACTGTCTTTACACGGTATAAACTTACTGTCTTTACACGGTATAAACTTACTGTCTTTACACGTTATAAACTTACTGTCTTTACACGGTATAAACTTACTGTCTTTACACGGTATAAACTATAAACTGACTGTCTTTACACGGTATTAACTTACTGTCTTCATACGGTATAAACTTACTGTCTTTACACGGTATGAACTGTCTTTACACGGTATAAACTTACTGTCTTTACACGGTATAAACTTACTGTCTTTGCACGGTATAAACTTACTGTCTTTACACGGTATAAACTTTCTGTCTTTATCTTGTACTGACTTTACACGGTATAAACTTACTGTCTTTACACGGTATATACTAACTGTCTTTACACGGTATAAACTGTCTTTATCTTGTAAAATCTTTACATGATATAAACTCACTGTCTTTACATGATATAAACTCACTGTCTTTACATGATATAAACTTATTGTCTTTACACGGTATAAACTATAAACTGACTGTCTTTACACGGTATACACTGACTGTCTTTACACGGTATTAACTTACTGTCTTTACACGGTATAAACTTACTGTCTTTACACGGTATAAACTTACTGTCTTTACACGGTATAAACTTACTGTCTTTACACGATATAAACTTACTGTCTTTACACGGTATAAACTTACTGTCTTTACACGGTATAAACTTACTCTCTTTACACGGTATGAACTGTCTTTACACGGTATAAACTTACTGTCTTTACACGGTATAAACTTACTGTCTTTACACGATATAAACTTACTGTCTTTACACGGTATAAACTTACTGTCTTTACACGGTATAAACTTACTGTCTTTACACGGTATTAACTTACTGTCTTTACACGGTATAAACTGTCTTTATCTTGTAAAATCTTTACATGATATAAACTCACTGTCTTTACATGATATAAACTTATTGTCTTTACACGGTATAAACTATAAACTGACTGTCTTTACACGGTATACACTGACTGTCTTTACACGGTATTAACTTAATGTCTTTACACGGTATAAACTTACTGTCTTTACACGGTATAAACTTACTGTCTTTACACGGTATAAACTTACTGTCTTTACACGTTATAAACTTACTGTCTTTACAGGGTATAAACTTACCGTCTTTACACGGTATAAACTATAAACTGACTGTCTTTACACGGTATTAACTTACTGTCTTCATACGGTATAAACTTACTGTCTTTACACAGTATGAACTGTCTTTACACGGTATAAACTTACTGTCTTTGCACGGTATAAACTTACTGTCTTTGCACGGTATAAACTTACTGTCTTTACACGGTATAAACTTACTGTCTTTACACGGTATAAACTTACTGTCTTTACACGTTATAAACTATAAACTGACTGTCTTTACACGGTATTAACTTACTGTCTGTACACGATATAAACTTACTGTCTTTACACGGTATGAACTGTCTTTACACGGTATAAACTTACTGTCTTTACACGGTATAAACTTACTGTCTTTACACGGTATAAACTTACTCTCTTTACACGGTATGAACTGTCTTTACACGGTATAAACTTACTGTCTTTACACGGTATGAACTGTCTTTACACGGTATAAACTTACTGTCTTTACACGGTATAAACGTACTGTCTTTACACGGTATAAACGTACTGTCTTTACACGGTATAAACTTACTGTCTTTACACGGTATAAACTTACTGTCTTTACACGGTATAAACTTACTGTCTTTACACGGTATAAACTTACTGTCTTTACACGGTACAAACGTACTGTCTTTACACGTTATAAACTTACTGTCTTTACACGGTATAAACTTACTGTCTTTACACGGTATAAACTTACTGTCTTTACACGGTATGAACTTACTGTCTTTACACGGTATAAACTTACTGTCTTTACACGGTATAAACTTACTGTCTTTACACGGTATAAACTTACTGTCTTTACACGATATAAACTTACTGTCTTTACACGGTATAAACTTACTGTCTTTACACGGTATAAACTTACTGTCTTTACACGATATAAACGTACTGTCTTTACACGGTATAAACTTACTGTCTTTACACGGTATAAACTTACTGTCTTTACACGGTATAAACTTACTGTCTTTACACGGTATTAACTTACTGTCTTTACACGGTATAAACTTACTGTCTTTACACGATATAAACTTACTGTCTTTACACGGTATAAACTTACTGTCTTTACACGGTATAAACTTACTGTCTTTACACGGTATTAACTTACTGTCTTTACACGGTATAAACTTTCTGTCTTTATCTTGTACTGACTTTACACGGTATAAACTTACTGTCTTTACACGATATAAACTTACTGTCTTTACACGGTATAAACTTACTGTCTTTACACGGTATGAACTGTCTTTACACGGTATAAACTTACTGTCTTTACACGGTATAAACTTACTGTCTTTACACGGTATGAACTGTCTTTACACGGTATAAACTTACTGTCTTTACACGGTATAAACTTACTGTCTTTACACGGTATAAACTTACTCTCTTTACACGGTATGAGGACGCCGACCGTGGAGCACCAGACTGTAGCGACTGCCTGTGCCCCAGTGTTGAAGACATTGCCGACCGTCTGGACGCCGCTGGACACGATGTTGCTGGCTGTGTTGACCACATCCTTCACCACACCACCCAGGTCCACTACAGGGTCGGGAGATACACGTCACACATAGCTTAATGCTGGTACTTGGGAGTCGACTGTTTACACAGCGTACGTGATACTCTCTCATAGCCCACATGATTTCACACACAGACTCAACTCTCAAGGCTCACATGATTTCACACACACACACACACCTCACAGCCCACACGATTTTACACACAGACTCAACTCTCAAGGCTCACATGATTTCACACACACACACACACCTCACAGCCCACACGATTTTACACACAGACTCAACTCTCAAGGCTCACATGATTTCACACACACACACACACCTCACAGCCCACACGATTTTACACACAGACTCAACTCTCAAGGCTCACATGATTTCACACACACACACACACCTCACAGCCCACACGATTTTACACACAGACTCAACTCTCAAGGCTCACATGATTTCACACACACACACACCTCACAGCCCACACGATTTTACACACAGACTCAACTCTCAAGGCTCACATGATTTCACACACACACACACACCTCACAGCCCACACGATTTTACACACAGACTCAACTCTCAAGGCTCACATGATTTCACACACACACACACCTCACAGCCCACACGATTTTACACACAGACTCAACTCTCAAGGCTCACATGATTTCACACACACACACACACCTCACAGCCCACACGATTTTACACACAGACTCAACTCTCAAGGCTCACATGATTTCACACACACACACACACACCTCACAGCCCACACGATTTTACACACAGACTCAACTCTCAAGGCTCACATGATTTCACACACACACACCTCACAGCCCACACGATTTTACACACAGACTCAACTCTCAAGGCTCACATGATTTCACACACACACACACACACGATTTCACACACACACACACACACACGATTTCACACAAACACACCCACACACCTCACATGATTTCACACACAGAACCAGCTCTCAAGGCTCACACGATTTCACACTCACATACACACCTTACACACACACCTCAAACAATATCACACAGAACCCACGCACACAAACACACACACCAATAAAAAGTTGCCAAATGAATCGTACCAAGGAAAGCAGAGCTTTGCCTTGCAACCAGACAGAAAATCAGCACTTGGATGAGACGCATGATCTAAGAAATCTACACAAAGAATTGCGTCTTTTAATCTACACAAAGAATTGAGTCTTTTAATCTACACAAAGTCTTGAGTCTTGTAGCGGCCTAAACTCTAACTAGAAGAATCAAGGCAACTGACATAAGTCCCAGACAGTTACGTCTTTTATAACCCAATGTTTGTCATTTGATCTTTGAGTAATTATATATCAACCAATAAAGTAAATTTTATAATTACTTTGTAAAATGGTTTTAATATTTTGTCCGTTGTTACGGCTTATTTCATGTCAATAATTTGATTATTTTAAAAAGCCAAGTAAAATGGTAAACCAACAATCATTTTCCCGTGCATACGGAATGTTTTAATTGGAGAACGTGCCACGTATAGGAGTGAGTAGAGTTTAACCACCAGTTAATTTACAGGTAAATATTGAACTCCTGACTTGAATCGTTTGGTAGAATATTGCAGACTACAGCTGGGCAAAGGCTGGTTATAAGAAAAATACAGCAGGTAGGTACATAGAAAAAGTAATGGATGTTAGAGATTAAAATAGTTTTTTTTATAAACGTATAGTTACGTAGCAACAAGGAAAATGATAGTCTACACATTTGTGCATGTTTTACAAGAACCCGACATGTCATTCACAAAAACTAACATGTCATTCAGCAGACATGGCATGTCATCCAACACACCTGTCATGTCATCAAGTAGATTAGACATGTCATCTAATAAATTACGTGTGTCAATCAGAAGTTAACTTTAACTTTTTAGCACCACATATTGTGGTTTAGCCTGCTGTCATGACCTGAAGACGTGTAAAACTGGGATACGTCACGAATAGCCCATACATGACGACACTCTTGGGGAGGGGGGGGGGGGGGTGAGGGGGGTTGTATTTTTGCGACGACGTGCGGTGGGGGGGGGTGTTTAGATCTTGTAACGTCACACTTTCCCACTTTAAAAAAACTGTTTTAATTAATTGTAATAGAAATAAGTCTATGTTATCGAGCTAAGTAATATCTTAGTACAAAAATTGATGTTTAAAAAAAATAAACTGCAATTTTGAGGGAAGTTTTAGGCTGAGGTGTGACGTCATTTTAAGGGAAGTCTGGCTTTTTTCTAATATGCTGAAGGAGGGGAGGGGGTTGAGTAATTTTAAAAAACGTGACGTCATGTAGAGATTATCCCTAAATAAGCGATTATCTCACATTCAACTTAGAATTCCTATACAGCGAATACAGACTGCTCCACAGTCGGTTCGGGGAAAATTTAGAAACTACACACGCACGCACACACACACACATATACATTTTAATTGACATATAATAGACACAGGTAACTTGATTAACTTGTTTTAATTCAAGTAGTGCAGCCACACTTGCTGATGATTAATTGGATTTTATCCTTTCATCTTATAAGACATCCTGAAGAAAGAATGAGAGAGTTAGAAACATTATTTGTAAAATATGAGAGACTAACATTTTGATATTTAGAATCAGCTCTTAAAATATTCACTTACAAGAGCAGGCTTTATTCGTGACGTCATCCACAATGGACTTAAGGGCGTCAAAGTTGCTGGTCTTAAAGACACTGCTGGAGTCACTGGCTATGGCCCGCAACTCGGCATCTTCCGCCTTGCCGATCCCCACTGCGATGATCTCGACACCCTGCTTCTTCAGGTTGGTGGCTGAGATCTTGGCTGGAACATTGTACAGATGATGGCAGTCAGGTATTGTAATGTGGCACAGTTCTAAATCAGCAGTCAGGTTTTGTAATGTGGCACAGTTCTAAATCAGCAGGTTTTGTAATGTGGCACAGTTCTAAATCAGCAGTCAGGTTTTGTAATGTGGCACAGTTCTAAATCAGCAGTCAGGTTTTGTAATGTGGCACAGTTCTAAATCAGCAGTCAGGTTTTGTAATGTGGCACAGTTCTAAATCAGCAGTCAGATTTTGTAATCTAGCTCAGTTGTACATGTCATCAGCATTCGAGTTTTGTGTGTTGTCAGAAGATACATAAATGCAACCTACTCACGTACACCGATGTATAAATAAAACCTACTCACGTACACTGATGTATAAATAAAACCTACTCACGTACACTGATGTATAAATACAACCTACTCACGTACACTGATGTATAAATAAAATCTACTCACATACACCGATGTATAAATACAACCTACTCACGTACACCGATGTATAAATAAAACCTACTCACGTACACTGATGTATAAATAAAACCTACTCACGTACACTGATGTATAAATAAAACCTACTCACGTACACGGATGTATAAATACAACCTACTCACGTACACCGATGTATAAATACAACCTACTCACGTACACCGATGTATAAATAAAACCTACTCACGTACACCGATGTATAAATAAAACCTACTCACGTACACGGATGTATAAATAAAATCTACTCACGTACACTGATGTATAAATAAAACCTACTCACGTACACCGATGTATAAATAAAACCTACTCACGTACACTGATGTATAAATAAAACCTACTCACGTATACTGATGTATAAATAAAATCTACTCACATACACCGATGTATAAATACAACCTACTCACGTACACTGATGTATAAATAAAACCTACTCACGTACACGGATGTATAAATACAACCTACTCACGTACACTGATGTATAAATAAAACCTACTCACGTATACTGATGTATAAATAAAACCTACTCACGTACACTGATGTATAAATAAAACCTACTCAGTGCCGGGTTGTCCGACAAGCCATCAGTGATGACGGCAACCATTTTCTTGGCTCTGGTTCTGGCACCAGCCTCTGGTCTAAACATGCCAGCTGACGTGATGAGGTCCAGGGCCTCGTTGGTCTTTGTGGTCGAGTTCAGGTAGCCCATAGCCTGGATAGCCTGTGGGACTAGTCAGACAGTGTCAAGTCTAGGTCGGACAGTGTCAAATCTAGGTCAGACGGTGTCAAGTCTAGGTCAGACAGTGTCAAGTCTAGGTAGGACAGTGTCAAGTCTAGGTCAGACAGTGTCAAGTCTAGGTCAGACGGTGTCAAGTCTAGGTCAGACAGTGTGAAGTCTAGGTAGGACAGTGTCAAGTCTAGGTCAGTGTCAAGTCTAGGTCAGACAGAGTCAAGTCTAGGTCAGACAGTGTCAAGTCTAGGTCAGACAGTGTCAAGTCTAGGTCAGACAGTGTCAATTCTAGGTCAGACAGTGTCAAGTCTAGGTCAGACAGTGTCAAGTCTAGGCCAGACAGTGTCAAGTCTAGGTCAGTGGCAGGTCTAGGTCAGACAGTGTCAAGTCTAGGTCAGACAGTGTCAAGTCTAGGTCAGTGGCAGGTCTAGGTCAGACAGTGTCAAGTCTAGGTCAGACAGTGTCAAGTCTAGGTCAGACAGTGTCAAGTCTAGGTCAGACAGTGTCAAGTCTAGGTCAGACAGTGTCAAGTCTAGGTCAGACAGTGTCAAGTCTAGGTAGGACAGTGTCAAGTCTAGGCCAGACAGTGTCAAGTCAGACAGTGTCAAGTCTAGGTCAGACAGTGTCAAGTCTAGGTCAGACAGTGTCAAGTCTAGGTCAGTGGCAGGTCTTGGTCAGACAGTGTCAAGTCTAGGTCAGACAGTGTCAAGTCTAGGTCAGACAGTGTCAAGTCTAGGTCAGACAGTGTCAAGTCTAGGTCAGACAGTGTCAAGTCTAGGTCAGACAGTGTCAAGTCTAGGTCAGACAGTGTCAAGTCTAGGTCAGATAGTGTCAAGTCTAGGCCAGACAGTGTCAAGTCTAGGTCAGACAGTGTCAAGTCTAGGTCAGACAGTGTCAAGTCTAGGTCAGACAGTGTCAAGTCTAGGTCAGAGTCAAGTCTAGGTCAGACAGTGTCAAGTCTAGTTCAAGTGGCAGGTCTAGGTCAGACAGTGTCAAGTCTAGGTCAGACAGTGTCAAGTTTAGGTCAGACAGTGTCAAGTCTAGGTCAGGCAGTGTCAAGTCTAGGTCAGACAGTGTCAAGTCTAGGTCAGACAGTGTCAAGTCTAGGTCAGACAGTGTCAAGTCTAGGCCAGACAGTGTCAAGTCAGACAGTGTCAAGTCTAGGTCAGACAGTGTCAAGTCTAGGTCAGACAGTGTCAAGTCTAGGTCAGTGGCAGGTCTTGGTCAGACAGTGTCAAGTCTAGGTCAGACAGTGTCAAGTCTAGGTCAGACAGTGTCAAGTCTAGGTCAGACAGTGTCAAGTCTAGGTCAGACAGTGTCAAGTCTAGGTCAGACAGTGTCAAGTCTAGGTCAGACAGTGTCAAGTCTAGGTCAGATAGTGTCAAGTCTAGGCCAGACAGTGTCAAGTCTAGGTCAGACAGTGTCAAGTCTAGGTCAGACAGTGTCAAGTCTAGGTCAGACAGTGTCAAGTCTAGGTCAGTGGCAGGTCTAGGTCAGACAGTGTCAAGTCTAGGTCAGTGGCAGGTCTAGATCAGACAGTGTCAAGTCTAGGTCAGTGGCAGGTCTAGGTCAGACAGTGTCAAGTCTAGGTCAGACAGTGTCAAGTCTAGGTCAGACAGTGTCAAGTCTAGGTCAGACAGTGTCAAGTCTAGGTCAGACAGTGTCAAGTCTAGGTCAGTGGCAGGTCTAGATCAGACAGTGTCAAGTCTAGGTCAGACAGTGTCAAGTCTAGGTCAGACAGTGTCAAGTCTAGGTCAGACAGTGTCAAGTCTAGGTCAGTGGCAGGTCTAAGTCAGACAGTGTCAAGTCTAGGTCAGTGGCAGGTCTAGGTCAGACAGTGTCAAGTCTAGGTCAGACAGTGTCAAGTCTAGGTCAGACAGTGTCAAGTCTAGGTCAGACAGTGTCAAGTCTAGGTCAGTGGCAGGTCTAGGTCAGACAGTGTCAAGTCTAGGTCAGACAGTGTCAAGTCTAGGTCAGACAGTGTCAAGTCTAGGTCAGACAGTGTCAAGTCTAGGTCAGACAGTGTCAAGTCTAGGGTATCTTCTAGGACTGCTAGGATTTTTAATTATTTCAATAGTGCTCAGCTCACTCAAACAAAAGGATGAGATAAGTTTCTTAAAACGTTCCCATTTATTATCGTTTATTATTTTTAACATTTACCAGCGCTAAGAATCATAAAGTAGATTTATTGTTGTAATATCAGGGAATAAATGCAAGTGGTAGCTGTGTGGAGACTTTATAAAACAAAATGTGTAAATGATGTTTGAAATATCACAAGTTAGCAATATCTGTACAAACTCACCAGCTTGAGGGATCGTATGTTAACATTATTATCTGTACAAACTCACCAGTTTGAGAGATCTTATGTTCGTATTGTCCTTCAGATCAAAATATTTCTGGGCAACATTGCTGAAGATGACACATCCAAACAGGACGTCCTGGGTGCCAACCTTAAAGTGTGACACCAGCTGCTGCAGAAAGTCTAGTAGTTTCAGGTAGTTCTTGGGACCGATACTGCCAGAGGAGTCAACCACCAACAGGAAGTCAACAACAGCAGTGCAACCTGGGACACAAAACCAGATGTATCTATCACGTCTACATGGTGACACATACCAGATGTGTCTATCACTTGACACGTGACACGTGGTGACACATACCAGATGTATCTGTGACGTGTACATGGTGACATATACCAGATGTGTCTATCACTTGACACGTGACACGTGGTGACACATACCAGATGTATCTGTGACGTGTACATGGTGACACATACCAGATGTGTCTGTGACGTGTACATGGTGACACATACCAGATGTATCTGTGACGTGTACATGGTGACACATACCAGATGTGTCTGTGACGTGTACATGGTGACACATACCAGATGTGTCTATCACTTGACACGTGACACGTGGTGACACATACCAGATGTATCTGTGACGTGTACATGGTGACACATACCAGATGTGTCTGTGACGTGTACATGGTGACATATACCAGATGTGTCTATCACTTGACACGTGACACGTGGTGACACAAACCAGATGTATCTGTGACGTGTACATGGTGACACATACCAGATGTATCTGTGACGTGTACATGGTGACACATACCAGATGTATCTGTGACGTGTACATGGTGACACATACCAGATGTATCTGTGACGTGTACATGGTGACACATACCAGATGTATCTATGACGTCTACATGGTGACACATACCAGATGTATCTGTGACGTGTACATGGTGACACATACCAGATGTATCTGTGACGTGTACATGGTGACACATACCAGATGTATCTATGACGTCTACATGGTGACACATACCAGATCTATCACGTGACTCGTGTACATGGTGACACAAACCCGGTGTATCTATGACGTGACACGTGTAGAGACAAACCAGATGTATCTATCATCACGACAAAATTATACATAAGACTATTTGAATAAATGTCTTTATATTTAAATTAATTAACCCTTTATATGTAGGAAAAAACGATTTGAAAGAAGCGAGAGGCTTTCTGAAAGAAAAATAATTGTCTGCTTACCTGGTTCTGTAACGTCAAGTGGACAGACAAAAAAAATTAGGTTAGAGACAAAAAAATTCATTTTCTCGTTTGTATTTTATGTGTTTAATTGTTTGCTTTAATTTTCACCTGTTTTATTCTAGTGTTTTTGTCAATATGTTTTAAAATATTTTCTAATAATTGTTTTACTTTATATATATATATATATATATATATATATATATATATATATATATCCATATTTCTTTCTTTAACATGTTTAATTAAATGTTTAAATTAAATATTTTTATGGGCAGAGACATAAAGACACAGACAGACAGACAGACAGACAGACAGACAGACAAATGGATCAACTTACCTGGCTCTGGATATTCCGTCTCCTCAGGTTGCCCCGGGATAATCTCTTTACCACCAGTCGCTGGGGTCAGGACAAAATATTATAGGTTAAACCCAAACTGCTGGGGTCAGGACAAAATATTATAGGTTAAACCCAAACTGCAGGAGTCAGGATAAAATATTATAGGTTAAACCCAAACCTCAGTGGTCAGGACAAAATATTATAGGTTAAACCCAAACTGCTGGGGTCAGGACAAAATATTATAGGTTAAATCCACACCCCTATGGGGATCAGGACAAAATATTATAGGTTAAACCCAAACTGCTGGGGTCAGGAGAAAATATTATAGGTTAAACCCAAACTGCTGGGGTCAGGAGAAAATATTATAGGTTAAACCCAAACTGCTGGGGTCAGGAGAAAATATTATAGGTTTTCTCTAGTTATCCCAAACTACCAATTGTGTTCTCTGTTGGCAGGTTTTTATGTTAAGTGTAGATGAAACTATGTTTGTGTAATTGATGTAGATATGTTGTGTTTGTGTATTATGTGTAGTTATATATCTGTCTTAAGTGTTGATACTAATTTTGCTTGTGATAACATTTTACGCTTGTATGTGTTTCACAAATATTTACACATTTTACACCGCATTACTCACTTATGTGTGTCATGTTTTTGAAAGACGAGCTTATTGTATGTGTGTGTGTGTGTGTGTGTGTGTGATAGCCTTGTGTGTAGCGAGTGTCACACACCATTAAAACCTGAATGATACCAAGTGTAATGTCATCATTCACATCATTCACTCACGTAAGTGTGTCTAGTTTCTGATGTTTGTCATTGTTGAGTCCTGTAAGTTAGAAAAGATTTTCACTTGTATGTCGTGTGTGACTTGTGTGTGTGTGTGTGCCCAGTGTGTGTGTGTGCGTGCCCAGTGTGTGTGTGTATGCCCAGTGTGTGTGTGTGTGTGTGTGCATGTTTACCCCTGCATGTCCTCTGCACCAACTGATAAAGCACGTTCTCCAGCGTGTCGTAGTCGTTGGCCAGGAAAACGTAGTCTGGACTACTGGCCAGTTTGAGCAGCTCGTGATTTCTGTTGCCAAAGATGTTCAGACCGAGGAACGTTTGGCCTACACCAATGGCAAAGATCGTAACACCCTTAGCTCTCAGCCTAGCAGCGGCGCGTTCAGCTTGAAAAGAAAATGTGTTGCTCAAAATATGTTCATAGCATTTTAAAATCATCAGTAAAATTAATGAATAAACCCATGTTTAAATAAAGTTGTAAGAATGAAAGTTCCTCTCATAAAAAAATGTAACTGACTAGCAGAGGGGTTGTTGGATTTGCCATCTGTGACCACGATGATTACATCCCCAGCCTTGGCCCTGCCGCCAAACTTGGCGCTAAACAGATCAAAGTTGTTGATGGCGTCTAGAGCCGTGTCTGTTGCTGTGGAACCACCAGGGTAGGGCGTCGACAGGATGGCCTGAGGGAGGGTCAGAGGTTAGGTCATCAAGTGGCACTGGAAGGTCAATTCAGTTAGGTCATTAAGTGGCACTGGAAGGTCAACTCAGTTAGGTCATTAAGTGGCACTGGAAGGTCAACTCAGTTAGGTCATTAAGTGGCACTGGAAGGTCAACTCAGTTAGGTCATCGAGTGGCACTGGAAGGTCAACTCAGTTAGGTCATCGAGTGGCACTGGAAGGTCAACTCAGTTAGGTCATCGAGTGGCACTGGAAGGTCAACTCAGTTAGGTCATCGAGTGGCACTGGAAGGTCAACTCAGTTAGGTCATCGAGTGGCACTGGAAGGTCAACTCAGTTAGGTCATCGAGTGGCACTGGAAGGTCAACTCAGAAAGTTAACATGGACCTGACATGTTCAGCCATACAGCTTACATACAAGAAAATGGCGCGGTCGAATGATAGAGTGTTTCATTGCTAACTCGAAAGTCTCGAGTTCGGATCGGGCACACCCATTGGACGACTCTGTGTCTACCCAGCTCTGATCGAGCCTGACTCACGTTAGGACCATAAGGTTTGATGGGGTACTTTACTTTAACACACAGGAAGGGTTAGTTGTGATAGGGTACTTTACTTTAACACACAGGGAGGGGGGGTTAGTTGTGATAGGGTACTTTACTTTAACACACAGGGAGGGTTAGTTGTGATAGGGTACTTTACTTTAACACACAGGAATGGTTAGTTGTGATAGGGTACTTTACTTTAACACACAGGAATGGTTAGTTGTGATAGGGTACTTTACTTTAACACACAGGAATGGTTAGTTGTGATAGGGTACTTTACTTTAACACGCAGGGAGGTTTAGTTATGATAGGGTACTTTATTTTAACACGCAGGGAGGTTTAGTTGTGATAGGGTACTTTACTTTAACACACAGGGAGGGGGGGTTAGTTGTGATAGGGTACTTTACTTTAACACGCAGGGAGGTTTAGTTATGATAGGGTACTTTATTTTAACACGCAGGGAGGTTTAGTTGTGATAGGGTACTTTACTTTAACACACAGGGAGGGTTAGTTGTGATAGGGTACTTTACTTTAACACACAGGGAGGGGGGGTTAGTTGTGATAGGGTACTTTACTTTAACACGCAGGGAGGTTTAGTTATGATAGGGTACTTTACTTTAACACACAGGGAGGGGGGGTTAGTTGTGATAGGGTACTTTACTTTAACACACAGGGAGGGTTAGTTGACATGCAATTAAAAGATGAGTATATGTGATTGAATTAAATTAGAAAGCCATACACGGAACATATGCATTCACCGCACTAACACTGAACATAAACCGTTTTAAATGTATTTACACTGAAAACATAAACTGTTGTAAATGTATTTACACTGTAAACATAACTCGTTGTAAATGTATTTACACTGAAAACTTAAACCATTGTAAATGTATTTACACTGAAAACTTAAACCATTGTAAATGTATTTACACTGAAAACTTAAACTGAACACTTTCTTAATATGTACACATCACATAACGTGTACACAGACACTGACCACGCATACAATAAACACGAATACATTGAAAACATACAGAACAGGAAGACACAGAAGGGCTACAGGACATTACCCCCCTGGAAATTACCCCCAGGACATTTCCCCCCCCCCCCCGTATTTACCCCCCGGAGCAATTACCCCCCTGTCAATTACCCCCCTGTCAATTACCCCCCCCCCCCCCGGGGAATTACCCCCCCCCCCCCTCTCAAGTTAGAATCCTAACTCTAACTAGAATTCTATACCTATATACTACTTTAATCCAAACCTTAAGAAAAAGACCAAAACCTAAACATCCACCTTAGCCTAAAACTTTACACAAAACCAAAACCAACGCTAGTCATTGGTTTAAACTTAACCCTAACCCTAGCTCTAACCCTCTCTAACTCTAGCCCTAACCCTTACCCTAACCCTAGCCCTAACCCTAACCCTAACCCTAACCCTAACCCTAACCCTAACCCTAACCCTAACCCTAACCCTAACCCTAACCCTAGCCCTAGCCCTAACTCTAACCCTAACCCTAACCCTAAACCTAACCCTAACCCTGGTCCTAAACCTAACCCTAACCCTAACCCTAGCCCCAAAACCTAGCTCTAACCCTATCCCTATCCCTAGGGGGGGGTAATGTCCTACTGGGCGGGGGGGGGGGGGTAATTGACTGGGGGTAAGTGACAGGGGGTAATTACTCCGGGGGGTAATGTCGGGGGGGGGGAAATGTCCGGGGGGTAATTGACAGGGGGGAAATGCCCTGTTCCCACACAGAAGACACACACATAACACACACACTGTAGGATACACACTGACACACCGTGCCCACACACAGTGAAGGCTAGAGCACAAGAAAGTGCCTACAGTGAGCAATGATGCGAGGTCGGGGTAGGTACTGAAGTCAAAATGTTTCTGGGCCTTGTCGCTGAAGTAGATCTCGGCAAACCTCGCGTCGTTGTCGCCGTGGATGAAGGAGGCGGCCATGTTGGCCAGGAAGGCCAGCTGTTTCTTGTAGTTGCTGGCACCGATGCTAGACGAGGCGTCCAGCACAATGTACACGTCAGCTAGGGCTTTACATTGGATGGGGAGGGGGGACAGTCCTCCGCCTGGACCTGGAGAAGACGTGGCATTTAGACATTCAATCAAACGTGAAGACGTGACATTTAGACATTCAACCAAACGTGACGACGTGACATTTAGACATTCAATCAAACGTGACGACGTGACATTTAGTCATTCAATCAAACGTGACGACGTGGCATTTAGACATTCAACCAAACGTGAAGATGTGGCATTTAGACATTCAACCAAACGTGACGCATTTCAGGTTCAGTTAATCAAGTGAGGGCCAGACGTATAGGATGCAAATAAAAATTCTATGTCCATTTAATTACGTGACATCAGTGGCGTAGCGAGGTCGGGTGTCACCCGGTGCGGCACTTAATGGTGTCACCCCCCAGAGGCATTTTCGATTTGCACCCCCCCTTTCAAGTTTTCGATTTGCACCCCCCCCCCTTTCAAGTTTTCGATTTGCACCCCCCTTTCAAGTTTTCGATTTGCACCCCCCCCCTTCAAACTTTCGATTTGCACCCCCCCCCCCCCTCGAGTTTTTCTCTATATATTTTGCTATTTTTTGCCTTGGTGTCACCCCCTTAAATGGTGTCACCCGGTGCGGTCCGCACCCCCCGCCCCCCCCCCCCCCTCGCTACGCCCCTGCGTGACATCAGTAACTAACAAAGCTTTTATTTAGTACTTTGATGGTCGATACATTATTAGTTGAACACAATATCAAGAAAAGCTATTAGACTAAAAAAAATTCAGACTTACGCCCCTTGCACGAGCCAAGGATCCCGAGGGTGGTGACACAGAGGGCTGTGTTGACCACACCTCCAGCCAAGTTGGCCACACCTCCAGCCAAATTAGCCGTGCCTTGGATGACGTCGCCGGCCGCGTGCAGCACACCACCAGTCAGCTGACCTGCAGCGTTTACGGTACCTCCTAAAACCTGACCTGCCAGATTGGCAGTACCTCCCAAGATCTGGCCAGCCGTGTTGACGGTTTCACCCACTAGTTGACCAGCGCCCTCTATCACATTCCCGGCCAACTCACCCAGACCAGAGAACAGAACTGACAAGAGGAAAACGGCACAAGTATTTTAGACAACAGCTAGTCAAAGATATCTATGGAATATACACTTTTTTACAGAAAGTATAAGATATGTATTGAATATACACTTTTTATAGCTAGTATAAGATATGAATTCAATATACACTTTTTTTACAGCTAGTATAAGATATGCATTCAATATACACTTTTTATAGCTAGTATAAGATATGAATTCAATATACACTTTTTTACAGCAAGTATAAGATATGCTTTTAACACACTTTTTTTACATCTAGTATAAGATATGCATTCAATATACACTTTTTTACAGCTATTATAAGATATGCATTCAATATACACTTTTTTACAGCAAGTATAAGATATGCATTCAATATACACTTTTTTACAGCTAGAATAAGATACGAGAAAAATGGCCCGTTGAGGTAGGATACAACGGGCTCTAGTTTGATAGTGCTGTCTATTTTCTCTAAACTAAAACTAAAACCAAAATCACCACCTTAATTCAATTTAACCGGAAACGAAAACTTACATTGAAAACGGATTTTTATCCAGAATCGTTACTTTAATTTATACAAAATATAGTCATATGTATATCCCTAAACCGTGCACCTAATCTCATTCATGACAAAAGTCGCATTTAGAGTTTCTTTCAGGCAATTCTACTTGGGAGGAGGGGGCTCCGCCCCCCCCCCCCACACACACACTCCAAAACATGTCCACCGTCCCATTCAACGAAATATAATTATATTTTTTTCCAGTGTCCGCCACCTCCCAGAAAATTCTACCCCTGCCCCCGAAAATTTCAAGTACCCCCACCCCTCTCCGGGGAGGAAAAGTCTGAAAGAAACACTGGTCGCATTTGTAGATCATACAAAGTAAAGAACCTGGGCTGGGCTTCGCCTCCACCGGAAGAGATGCATGAAAAAAACTGTGCACGCTAAACACTTTTTAGATTAGAAAAATTTCCCCTCTCCGGGGAGGAAAAGTCTGAAAGAAACACTGGTCGCATTTGTAGATCATACAAACTAAAGGAAGAAACTGGGCGGGGCTTCGCCCCTACGGAAAGAGATGCATGAAAAAAACTGTACACGCTAAACACTTTTTAGATTAGAAAAAGTTCCCCCCTAGGGGGAGGAAAAAGTCTGAAAGAAACACTGGTGTCGCGCTTAGCCACTACCCGAAGAATTGCATTAAAGAAATTGCAAGAAAACCACTTTTTAGATTAGACCAGGGGTCGGCAACCTTTTGAAGCGGAAGAGCCAAAAGTTACAATTTTCAAAATTTCCCTGGTTTTAAAGAGCCACTAACATTTTTAAAATTTCAAATATTTTATTTTTTTATTAAGATTATTAGTATTCGTTCAAGGAGCCTGAGAGCCGCATCTTGATATCAAAAGAGCCGCATGCGGCTCGCGAGCCGCAGGTTGCCGACCCCTGGATTAGACACATTAATTAGGCGGTAATTTTATTATGGAGTATCGATGAAGAAATTTCTTTTGAGTTGGGGAGCGGGGGGGGGGGGGGGGGGCTCAGACGTTCTTACGCGGGGGTGGGGCTTAGCCCCTACCCGAAGAATTGTATGAAAGAAACTCTTCACGCAAACCACTTAGATTAGACAAAATTGTATTTTTATTCAATGTTTACTCGAGAATCAATGACGTCATATTACTGTGTGCACTCTCCGGCTTGAGATTATTTTCTACTCTATGCTAAATGTACGTCATATTTCGTTTTCGTTTAACTATGCATGTTTTTAAATTGCTTGTGTTTTCTCTAGAGCGTTCTTGTCAGATAGATACATAGATACATAGATACACAGACAGCGAAACTATTATTATAGATGCATTCAATATACACTTTTTTACAGCTAGTATAAGATATGCATTCAATATACACTTTTTACAGCAAGTATAAGATATGTATTGAATATACACTTTTTTTACATCAAGTATAACATATGGACATTCTTGTCAGATACATAGATAGATACATACACAGACAGCGAAACTATTAGTATTAATGCATTCAATATACACTTTTTTACATCTAGTATAAGATATGCATTCAATATACACTTTTTACAGCAAGTATAAGATATGTATTGAATATACACTTTTTTTACATCAAGTATAACATATGGACATTCAGCCTCTCCGCCAATGGCATTGGAGTAAGCATTGTGTAACACCGTTAAAAACTGTTGCAACATTTAACATAAATCAATATAAAGCTAACATATAGCCATATAAACTCAATAAACCTAACATAAGCCATATTAAACCGAACGTGAATCAATACACATTCAGCAAAAAGCCATATAACCCTAACATAAATCCATATAAACTTAGCATACAACAATATGAACCAAATATGAAGCGATTGTGTACAACAAGAAAGGGAGGTCACTGGTACTTACAACTTGAACTTTGGCCAGCAAGAAGAAAACACAAGAAAATTGTCAACTTCATGGTCAATGGTTCTGTAACATTATATATATATATATATATATATATATATATATATATATATATATATATATATATATATATATATATATATATATATAAACATATATATGATAACATACAAAATAATGTATAGACATGTGAAATTTATTACGAAAAAGTAAACACAAAATGTATCAATAAACATACCAGCTATAAAGAGTGGGGAAAAACTTACCGCTAACAACAAATTAGCTCGTCTTGTAGCTCACAACAGACCACCAATTTATATAGTTAATTTAGATCAGCTAATTATGCTAATTACAATTAATTATTATTCTTTCTTGTTTACTTAGCTGCTAATTCTCTCTATTTACCTTAAACTTAATTCTATTTGCATCTCGAGAACCTAATTTAGTAATGGAAAAAAACATGTTATTTACAACATTTTTAATTACAGCATTTTTATTTACAACATTTTTATTTACAGCATCATAACTCAAAAATATTTTTGTATAAAATTTTACAGACATTTATCTATCAATCGTATTTATCTCAGGACTGAAATATCATCAACTCTGGTTTCTTTTCTACGGTTTCTACCGCCGCATTGCTTGCTTTTGGACTGTACCGAGAGAAGGTCGAAATAGGGAGTATGATGCTTGGGCAACCCACGTCCAACCCACCTAAAGCCCGTGTGTGATTGTATTGACTTTATTGACAACCCACGTCAACCCACCTAATGTCCGTGTATGATTGGGTTGACTTTATTGACAACCCACGTTCAACCCACCTAATGTCCGTGTATGATTGGGTTGACTTTTTAAATCTAATTCACAAACCCCCAGCCTGTTAAAGGCGATTATTTATTGGTAATGAAACAATTATTAGCTAGCGAGCTTAATTAAATGGATGTTTAAAATGTTAAAGTTCAAGTTGAATTTATTGTTGTGATTAGGAAGAAACAAGTGTGTATACCAACGACAGGTAACTCAATAGACGTTCTCATATTCTTGATAGGAATAGCTGCATTACAAACATCAGTCATCATTCGCAAAAGTGTCGATCAAAAGTAAAATAACTTATGTTTTTTGTTTTGTTTTTTGTTGTGAAATAGATATTACAGTTGTTAAAGAGTGTACGGCATTCTGACAACAGGGAAGACAACTATTTCACTTATGTATATATGGGGACAGGACTGACTTTCTTAGGACAAATAAAATGACCATATAGGACAAAAAAATCAAGGGCAAAAAATCTCTGGACAAAATATAGCAAGACAAGTGGTATTTGCCATGGAATCATATATATATACATATATATATATATATATATATATATATATATATATATATATATATATATATATATATATATATATATATCTATATATATATATCTATCTATCTATCTACATATATATATATATATATCCTAATAGATAAATATTATTACACTATGTGGATAATCCCAATACGAAGGATCTGTATTATGTTTTTTTTTCTCATCCTCGTTTTTTGTGAACATTGAATGGTCTACTCTTCTATCTTCTATCCTACAAGCGTTAGCTATCTAAAGTTTAGAAAACTGCTGACACGGACATCTGTTAAAAGTTGAAACTCATTACATAGGCGCGACTGATAATGGCTTTAGTCAGCCGTGTTTTCAGAGATCCCTGTGGGTCATTAGTATTTTGTCGTATGGATACTTCACAATAGCAACCATTGCTGGATCAAAACAAGTGAAGTCTAGCGGTAAACCAGATAATGAGCTGTATTAGTTTCGTGCATGCATGAGTTTGGCTGGAGACAACATGTTTGTATCAACGGCTGCCTCGGCTGTAAACATTTTATTTGATCACGTGTCAAATTTTGAAGAACGTCACATTTTAAAAGCACATTTGCTTGTCATGTCATGTGATGACCCATGTATGTTTGTCTGACTGGCTTAATGTTTGTCTGACTGGCTTAATGTTTGTCTGACTGGCTTAATGTTTGTCTGACTGGCTTAATGTTTGTCTGACTATCTTAATGGTTGTCTGACTGCCTTAATGTTTGTCTGACTGTCTTAATGTTTGTCTGACTGTCTTAATGTTTGTCTGACTGGCTTAATGTTTGTCTGACTGGCTTAATGTTTGTCTGACGGGCTTAATGTTTGTCTGACTATCTTAATGGTTGTCTGACTGCCTTAATGTTTATCTGACTGTCTTAATGTTTGTCTGACTGTCTTAATGTTTGTCTGACTGTCTTAATGTTTGTCTGACTATCTTAATGTTTGTCTGACTGTCTTAATGTTTGTTTGACTGTCTTAATGTTTGTCTGACTGGCTTAATGTTTGTCTGACTGTCTTAATGTTTGTCTGACTGTCTTAATGTTTGTCTGACTGTCTTAATGTTTGTATGACTGGCTTAATGTTTGTCTGACTGTCTTAATGTTTGTCTGACTGGCTTAATGTTTGTATGACTGGCTTAATGTTTGTCTGACTGTCTTAATGTTTGTCTGACTGTCTTAATGTTTGTCTGGCTGGCTTAATGTTTGTATGACTGGCTTAATGTTTGTCTGACTGTCTTAATGTTTGTCTGACTGGCTTAATGTTTGTCTGACTGGCTTAATGTTTGTCTGACTGTCTTAATGTTTGTCTGACTGTCTTAATGTTTGTATGACTGGCTTAATGTTTGTCTGACTGTCTTAATGTTTGTATGACTGGCTTAATGTTTGTCTGACTGTCTTAATGTTTGTCTGACTGTCTTAATGTTTGTCTGACTGGCTTAATGTTTGTATGACTGTCTTAATGTTTGTCTGACTGTCTTAATGTTTGTCTGACTGTCTTAATGTTTGTATGACTGGCTTAATGTTTGTCTGACTGTCTTAATGTTTGTCTGACTGGCTTAATGTTTGTATGACTGGCTTAATGTTTGTCTGACTGTCTTAATGTTTGTCTGACTGTCTTAATGTTTGTCTGACTGGCTTAATGTTTGTATGACTGTCTTAATGTTTGTCTGACTGTCTTAATGTTTGTCTGACTGTCATAATGTTTGTATGACTGGCTTAATGTTTGTCTGACTGTCTTAATGTTTGTCTGACTGGCTTAATGTTTGTATGACTGGCTTAATGTTTGTCTGACTGTCTTAATGTTTGTCTGACTGGCTTAATGTTTGTATGACTGGCTTAATGTTTGTCTGACTGTCTTAATGTTTGTCTGACTGTCTTAATGTTTGTCTGACTGTCTTAATGTTTGTATGACTGGCTTAATGTTTGTCTGACTGTCTTAATGTTTGTATGACTGGCTTAATGTTTGTCTGACTGTCTTAATGTTTGTCTGACTGTCTTAATGTTTGTCTGACTGGCTTAATGTTTGTATGACTGTCTTAATGTTTGTCTGACTGTCTTAATGTTTGTCTGACTGGCTTAATGTTTGTATGACTGGCTTAATGTTTGTCTGACTGTCTTAATGTTTGTCTGACTGTCTTAATGTTTGTCTGACTGGCTTAATGTTTGTCTGACTGGCTTAATGTTTGTATGACTGGCTTAATGTTTGTCTGACTGTCTTAATGTTTGTATGACTGGCTTAATGTTTGTCTGACTGTCTTAATGTTTGTCTGACTGTCTTAATGTTTGTCTGACTGGCTTAATGTTTGTATGACTGTCTTAATGTTTGTCTGACTGTCTTAATGTTTGTCTGACTGTCTTAATGTTTGTATGACTGGCTTAATGTTTGTCTGACTGTCTTAATGTTTGTCTGACTGGCTTAATGTTTGTATGACTGGCTTAATGTTTGTCTGACTGTCTTAATGTTTGTCTGACTGTCTTAATGTTTGTCTGACTGGCTTAATGTTTGTATGACTGTCTTAATGTTTGTCTGACTGTCTTAATGTTTGTCTGACTGTCATAATGTTTGTATGACTGGCTTAATGTTTGTCTGACTGTCTTAATGTTTGTCTGACTGGCTTAATGTTTGTATGACTGGCTTAATGTTTGTCTGACTGTCTTAATGTTTGTCTGACTGGCTTAATGTTTGTATGACTGGCTTAATGTTTGTCTGACTGTCTTAATGTTTGTCTGACTGTCTTAATGTTTGTCTGACTGTCTTAATGTTTGTATGACTGGCTTAATGTTTGTCTGACTGTCTTAATGTTTGTATGACTGTCTTAATGTTTGTATGACTGGCTTAATGTTTGTCTGACTGGCTTAATGTTTGTATGACTGGCTTAATGTTTGTCTGACTGTCTTAATGTTTGTCTGACTGTCTTAATGTTTGTCTGACTGGCTTAATGTTTGTATGACTGGCTTAATGTTTGTCTGACTGTCTTAATGTTTGTCTGACTGTCTTAATGTTTGTCTGACTGGCTTAATGTTTGTATGACTGGCTTAATGTTTGTCTGACTGTCTTAATGTTTGTCTGACTGGCTTAATGTTTGTCTGACTGGCTTAATGTTTGTCTGACTGTCTTAATGTTTGTCTGACTGTCTTAATGTTTGTATGACTGGCTTAATGTTTGTCTGACTGTCTTAATGTTTGTATGACTGGCTTAATGTTTGTCTGACTGTCTTAATGTTTGTCTGACTGTCTTAATGTTTGTCTGACTGGCTTAATGTTTGTATGACTGGCTTAATGTTTGTCTGACTGTCTTAATGTTTGTCTGACTGGCTTAATGTTTGTCTGACTATCTTAATGTTTGTCTGACTGGCTTAATGTTTGTCTGACTGGCTTAATGTTTGTCTGACGGGCTTAATGTTTGTCTGACTATCTTAATGTTTGTCTGACTGGCTTAATGTTTGTCTAACTGTCTTAATGTTTGTCTGACTGGCTTAATGTTTGTCTGACTGCCTTAATGTCATGTGATGGCCCATGTTTGTTTGTTACACTTTACTGGGTTTTTAAGTAGCTTCCAGTGAATTTTCGTTACTCTATAGTGCATGTTTGTATGTTTGTATGTTTGTCGTCGTATTTAACCTCAAATGTGTATGATTGACGAAGATCGATAAAGATTCTTTACTTTCAAATCTTGATATTGATACATGTATATATTTATTGATCAATCCAAATAAACATAACATTAAAATGTATTGTGAAATAAAGTTATACACTTAAATTGGCCTAAAAAGATCGCTTGAAATCGTTATAACACTAGAGCCTTCAAATGTTCAATAAATTGCTTTGAAATATTGAGTCCACTTGTTTTACTGTTAAGCCAACAGAAACACTATTCGTAAAATGAAAAAAAAGGATCCATTAAGTCAGTCCCCCATCCCATCCCCAATGTCCCGCAATATGTTGAAATTGTCTTTTGAAATTGACAGATGGTCTTTTCTAGAAACTTCTGGCTAATGACAGATGGGAATGTCAGGTGTTTTGATATGACTCATTCAATTGACGTGTGGACACAGTAAAACATCTGTTTCTTGTGGTAATCTAATTAGGTTTAATTAACTAGTTGGCTGTCTATATTCAACAGGTTCGCTAGCTATAATTACTTGGTTGGCTAACTATATTCATTGCGTTGACCAGCTATATTCACTGGTTAGCCAGCTATAATAACCTGGTAATCTAGCTGTACCTGGTTAGCTAGCTATATTCACTAGTTAATTTACTTTAATTACCTGGTTAATTAGCTTTAATTACCTTGTTAGCTAGCTGTAATTAGTCTGTTTTTACCTAACTATACTGTGTCCCAATTATTTGTAAACACTTTAACAAATGCCATTTTATTCCATCAAATTGTATCTAATATTATTATACATCACAAGAATCAAAACTCCATTCCCCCCCCCCCCCTTTTCACCACTCAGCCATACAGAGATATTGTTTTCATGTAGCCAGTCCATGCCCAGAAGAAATACGAATCAAACCACGCTATAGATATCGGCCTCTAGATACAACTGTTCTTGAACCTTATTTTGGTTTTACTTATGTATCAAACAGTTCAAATAGCTCTGCGAAGGGAGGCAACTCATCTTAATCAAGAACACCTGTAAAATAAAAGTTCAACATTTACAAGGGAATTAACCAGTACATTTTTCTATTTGGTAAAGCAATGTATTGTTATCTTTTCTCCCTATTTTTATCTAAACAAAAAATAAAACTTGTGTAAAATCATATTAACGTGTTTTTTTTAAATGCATTAAAACCTATAAAAAACGATCATTGCTTTCTTCAGCCACATTAACACATTTTTAAAAAAAGCTATCGTGTCCCAAAGATTGTTACAACCGCTAAAGATTTTGATTTTTACCAGTTTCTAATTTTTAGCGCATTGCAATAAAAGGGCTTTTATATTTAATTATTTTTTTACCATCATTTAGTCTTTAGATACGGTAAAGATATAGGTAGGTTGAAGTGCAAGTTTTAAAAACTCCTCGCACAAAAAGAACGACATTTCCTTTAGATCCACACGACTTAAAATGTCGCTTGTAAACTGTATACGACACGAGTAGTTCAGCCTTATCTCTTGTAGGGTGGCTTGTCTGATAAATCTTCCTAGACATTCGTCATGGGCACAACTCACAATAATCCATATTTTTAGATCTCTTTTTGTCATTAATTGTGTTATGTTTCAGTGTTATCTTTAAGCATTATCTAAAAGTAGAATGGGAAGGAGTGGCCTAGTGGTAGAGACTGCTAACCCGTAAGTCTCGAGTTCGAATCCTGGTTTAAATTAGTTGACCATCCCCAAGTCAACCCACCTCCGTTGGGTAACTTAAGTTAGGGAAAGGATGCTGGGCATAGTGCTGACCCCACTATCTCTTCATATGCCGAGGTCACAGAAACAGGTGAACTCTACTTCACTTGCCCCATAGAAAGGGGAACTTTACTTTACTTACTCTATAAATAGAGCTATGTTTAAGTAATGTTGTATTTTAATAGTGTAATCTTTCGATTAGTTTTTCTAAAATAAAATGTTATATGCTGTTGGCTTGCGTTTTCAACAAAAACAAATAGATGTGGGTCCGAAAAGAGATGCACTATTTTGTCGACAGACTTAAGAGCTGTTACAAAAAGTTATGAACTGACCGTCAAAAAGTATTAAACTGACCGTCACAAAGTTATGAACTGACCGTCACAAAGTTATGAACTGACCGTCACAAAGTTATGAACTGACCGTCACAAAGTTATGAAATGATAGTCACAAAAGTTATAAACTGACCGTGACAAAGTTATGAACTGACCGTGACAAAGTTATGAACTGACCGTCACAAAGTTATGAACTGACCGTCACAAAGTTATGAACTGACCGTCACAAAGTTATGAACTGACCGTGACAAAGTTATGAACTGACCGTCACAAAGTTATGAACTGACCGTCACAAAGTTATGAACTGACCGTCACAAAGTTATGAACTGACCGTCACAAAGTTATGAACTGACCGTCACAAAGTTATGAAATGATAGTCACAAAAGTTATGAACTGACCGTCACAAAGTTATGAACTGACCGTCACAAAGTTATGAACTGACCGTCACAAAGTTATGAACTGACCGTCACAAAGTTATGAAATGATAGTCACAAAAGTTATGAACTGACCGTCACAAAGTTATGAACTGACCGTCACAAAGTTATGAACTGACCGTCACAAAGTTATGAACTGACCGTCACAAAGTCATGAACTGACCGTCACAAAGTTATGAACTGACCGTCACAAAGTTATGAACTGACCGTCACAAAGTTATGAACTGACCGTCACAAAGTCATGAACTGACCGTCACAAAGTTATGAACTGACCGTCACAGATCCGTTTAATCAGCTTGTACTTCTGCCTGTCCAGCGAATGGAAGCTGTCGGCCCTGAAGATCTCCTGGGGGCCACTAGCCATGCTGGTCAACTCCCAGCCGACCTGGTCGCCGATTCCAACCGAGATGATGGCCACGCCCTGGTCTTTCAGGCTCTTTGCTGAGGCTAAAGCTGCAGATACAAAATATCTGCTCACTAACTCTACAGATACAAAATATCTGCTCACTTACTCTACAGATACAAAATATCTGCTCACTGACTCTACACATACAAAATATCTGCTCACTAACTCTACAGATACAAAATATCTGCTCACTAACTCTACAGATACAAAATATCTGGTCACTAACTCTACACACACAAAATATCTGCTCACTGACTCGACAGATACAAAATATCTGGTCACTGACTCAACAGATACAAAATATCTGCTCATTGACTCTACAGATACAAAATATCTGCTCACTAACTCTACAGATACAAAATATCTGGTCACTGACTCTACACATACAAATTATCTGCTCACTGACTCTACAGATACAAAATATCTGGTCACTGACTCTACACATACAAATTATCTGCTCATTGACTCTACAGATACAAAATATCTGCTCACTAACTCTACAGATACAAAATATCTGCTCACTAACTCTACAGATACAAAATATCTGGTCACTGACTCAACACATACAAATTATCTGCTCACTGACTCTACACATACAAATTATCTGCTCACTGACTCTACACATACAAAATATCTGCTCACTAACTCTACAGATACAATAATATACTGTCAATAATGCTACAGATACCATAATATCTCAATAATGTTACATAAGGGGGTCATCCATAAATGACGTCACGCTTTTAAAAACGATTTTTACCTCCGCCTCCACTCTGTCACACATCGTCACAAAAAGCCACCCCCCCTCCCCGCAAATGACTTCACACCTCAGCCTACACCCCCCCCCCCCACCCACTAGAAAATAGCAGTTGATTTTTTTCCTAAAATACGATATTTTTCCAAATTCTTGTCTGAACTCTGTCAACGTAGTATTTTAATCAATTCCTATTACTATGTATTAAAATAATTTTCTAAAACGCGAAATAACGGCTAAAATTCGTTTTGTAACATTGCTTTTTTACTGTCTCGTATATACGAAGTATATAGAAAGTCTTGTAATCGTGCAAAAAAAAAATCGAGATTTTTGCAAATCTCGACGTTTTAGGGCTCTCTGAGTCGGAAAAACATAGTTTTGCAATCTTGAGTACCGTTACAGCTAGGTTGATGAAATTTCATATATAAGTATTATATCAAAATCGTAGATCCGTATCAACGTAAAATTTTGAGCGATTTCCGATAACCGAAAGTGGAACTTTTTCTACTTTGAATTTTTCAAAAGCCTATAGCTTGATTACTATTTCAGATAGATACGTGAAATTTCACATGTAAGTAAAAGTTCTAATTCACTGCCTTCTATCAAATTTTGAGGAATTTCACTCGACCGGAAGTAGTAATTTACGTTATTTCCGATTTCTCAAAAAAAAAAAAAACGCACGTGAATTTATAAAGTACTAATAATATCCCGCACTATTATGCATATTTTATTTGGCGTCACTTGGTGTGCAATCCTTTTTTTACGAGATTTTATTCTATTATAAAAAGTTTAAGTAATTAAAAATGGATTAAAAATATTGTCTATGTCCCGAGTTGCCATCTCCCGTAGTGTTATATTAGAATATTCGAGAAAGTTTAGGGGAGATCACTCCCGGTTTATTCATAATGCAATAGTGTGTCGTCACACCATACGTCACACCCCCCTCCCCCTCATCAAACACCGTCACAAAATTACGGACCCCCCTCCCCTAAGTGTGTGACGTCATTTATGGACGACCCCTAATATTTTGTCTTTGACTCTACAGTAACAGATACAACAAGAGCCACGTTGTGTCAAGTTTGAAGGACGTGAATCACACATAGACGTGAGTGACCTCTATAGGTGACCTTTGTCAGACGTGAGTGACCTCTATAGCTGACCTTTGTCAGACGTGAGTGACCTCTATAGCTGACCTTTGTCAGACGTGAGTGACCTCTATAGCTGACCTTTGTCAGACGTGAGTGACCCCTATAGCTGACCTTTGTCAGACGTGAGTGACCTCTATAGCTGACCTTTGTCAGACGTGAGTGACCTCTATAGCTGACCTTAGTCAGACGTGAGTGACCTCTATAGCTGACCTTTGTCAGAAGTGAGTGACCTCTATAGCTGACCTTTGTCAGACGTGAGTGACCTCTATAGCTGACCTTTGTCCGGCCTGCTCGAGGAGCCGGCCATGATGACAATGACCAGTCTGGCAGCGTTGTAGCGACCACCGGCCTGTAGACCAAACATTTCGCCTTGCTCCACCAGGCTCAGTGCCTCGTCTGTCCTGCTATCTCGCTCCATATAAGGACTGTTCAGTAGAGCCTACAACACAGGACGGGCGACACGTGACAGTCAAATAGATTACCGGGGTCAGAAAACTAAATTACATTATATAGCATAACGTTGCTGCTGATTGCATGGTATTTTATTTATCAACAAACTCGATGGAAATACTACAAATAAAACAACATAAAGGCGTCCAAGAGAAACGTTTGTGTGTGTCAAAATGTAAAGAGGACGAACCGACTGAACGTTAGCTTTGTCCCTGTGGTCCTTGAGGTCAAACATCTTGCTGGCCACATCACTGAACACCACACCGGCCACAAGGACATCGTCTGGGCTGATGAGGAAACTGTGGGAGATGTTGGAGGCGAACCACAGCATCTGGGTGAAGTTCTCGCGGCCTTTCACGTGCTCGGAGGATTCGATCAGAAACACGATGTCCACTGCAGCGCTGCAGGCTGTAGAGTGTGTCACATGCTGTAAGCTTACACACATGCTGTACACACATCTTATACACACATATCGTTCATATGTTACACGCATTATATTACATAGCGCATATATCTGCTGTACACACATGTGTTACAAACACTCTATTACCTATTGTATATACACATGCAATACACATGTTATACACATATATTATATACACATGCTAAAAACATATGAGATACATATGGTATGTACTCTGCTACTAGTGTCATTAAATACGAACACAAATTACCTATTCTGCTACTAGTGTCATGAAATACGAACACAAATTACCTATTCTGCTACTAGTGTCATTAAATACGAACATAAATTACCTATTCTGCTACTAGTGTCATTAAATACGAACACAAATTACCTATTCTGCTACTAGTGTCATTAAATACGAACATAAATTACCTATTCTGCTACTAGTGTCATTAAATACGAACACAAATTACCTATTCTGCTACTAGTGTCATTAAATACGAACATAAATTACCTATTCTGCTACTAGTGTCATTAAATACGAACACAAATTACCTATTCTGCTACTAGTGTCATTAAATACGAACATAAATTACCTATTCTGCTACTAGTGTCATTAAATACGAACACAAATTACCTATTCTGCTACTAGTGTCATTAAATACGAACACAAATTACCTATTCTGCTACTAGTGTCATTAGATGCTGTTTCGTTTTCGAATATCAGTGGGTTGTACTTCAGGACTGTGGCTAGGTAAAAATACAGATAGAACTTTACTGGACTTTCTAGTTAGCACAACACTAATGTTATTTCTTCAATATTCAACTCTACAATACTTCATCTTATATCACACTACAACACTTCATCTTATATCACACTACCACACTTCATCTTATATCACTCTACTTCATCTTATATCACTCTACTTCATCTTATATCACTCTACTTCATCTTATACCACTATACTTCATCTTATATCACACTACAACACTTCATCTTATATCACACTACAACACTTCATCTTATATCACACTACCACACTTCATCTTATATCACTCTAAAACACTTCATCTTATATCACACTACAACACTTCATCATATATCACACTACAACACTTCATCTTATATCACTCTACTTCATCTTATATCACTACATTGGCTTCGTTTTACCCCCTACACAGAATTCTGTGATTCTGTTATAATTTGAAACAAAGTAAAGGGAAGTAATTTGCATTTTTTTTAATATAAGTATTTTTTCTAACATTGTTTACATTTGTGTGAATAATTGAATCAAAATTAAAGTTAAATAATATCATCGTGATGTTTACCGAAATATGTTGTCCCATGCAATTAACTAGATAGCGGTGTAGTTAAAAAAAACTAGATATTGGTGTAGTTAACTAGATAGTGGTGTAGTTAACTAGATAGTGGTGTAGTTAGATAGTGGTATAGTTAAATAGATAGTGGTGTCTTTAACTATATAGTGGTGTAGTTAAAAAAAACTAGATAGTGGTGTAGTTAACTAGATAGTGGTGTAGTTAACTAGATAGTGGTGTAGTTAAAAAAACTAGATAGTGGTGTAGTTAACTAGATAGTGGTGTAGTTAAATAGATAGTGATGTCGTTAACTATATAGTGGTGTAGTTTACTAGATAGTTGTGTAGTTAACTAGATAGTGGTGTAGTTAAATAGATAGTTGTGTAGTTAACTAGATAGTGGTGTAGTTAACTAGATAGTGGTGTAGTTAAATAGATAGTGATGTCATTAACTATATAGTGGTGTAGTTTACTAGATAGTGGTGTAGTTTACTAGATATTGGTGTAGTTAACTAGATAGTGGTTTGGTTAAAAAAAATGGATATTGTTGTAGTTAACTAGATAATGGTGTGGTAGAAAAAACAATGTACCGTAAACTTACAGCTTGTGCCCATCAAGTGAACCATGACCGCTGTCACAATAAAATGCACGTACAACAATTGCATCTTTGTCATGCATCTAGATCTACCTGTGTTCATTTTCAAATGTACTTCATTAGCAAGCATGCCTTAATAACAATGTTGGTAAACATGGTGAATAGGGCTATATATATATATATATATATATATATATATATATATATATATATGCAATATTTTTATATATAGGGAGAGGAAGAAAGAGAGATGTGACTCCATATAAATCTAATTTATATATAATTATTTTTTAAATTATTTTGATTCAAATACTTACACTTTTTGTAATACTTAGCAACGTAAAATTAGAAATTAGTGTCACGTGTCTACTACAAACATTCTATTAACGTGTCCTTAAATAGCATCGAACGTGCTTGCTTGCATAAGTCACAAAGTAAACGGACTGCTTGTTCAAGTAAACTGACTGTCCACTTGTTCAAGTAATCTGACGGTCCACTTGTTCAAGTAATCTGACGGTCCACTTGTTCAAGTAATCTGACGGTCCACTTGTTCAAGTAATCTGACGTTCCGAAGGCTCACGCTACACATGAAATAAAGAAAGTATAAAATGTAATACATTTCTCTCCATTATGTAACGAAAGATGTAACAGGATTTAATAGAACAAAACAGTTTGTACAGTACAGGCTACCAAATGGAATCAATATTTAATCAATATAGCTAATTAAAAAGCTAATGAGCTCATGAATTGATTTAACAAGTAGTTTCTAAATGCTGAGTTTTTTCCCCTGTGGTTGCATGTACGTCTTAATTTATTTCCCTTCGAAACGTTTACACTGTCAGTCTACACTGTGCAGCTGCCCTATCAGTCCTGGCAATCCGTTGGGCAGATAAAACTGATTTCACATGTATATGTGCCCTCGGCATATAAGTGGCAGTATAGATCAGTAGTTTGTTCAGATGCATTTAACTATAGTGAGTCAGGTACCCATCAGAGCTGGGTGGAGTAGAGTCAGGTACCCATCAGAGCTGGGTGGACTAGAGTCAGGTACCTATCAGAGCTGGGTGGACTAGAGTCAGGTACCCATCAGAGCTGGATGGACTAGAGTCAGGTACCCATCAGAGCTGGGTGGACTAGAGTCAGGTACCCATCAAAGCTGGATGGACTAGAGTCAGGTACCCATCAGAGCTGGGTGGAGTAGAGTCAGGTACCCATCAGAGCTGGGTGGACTAGAGTCAGGTACCTATCAGAGCTGGGTGGACTAGAGTCAGGTACCCATCAGAGCTGGATGGACTAGTCAGGTACCCATCAGAGCTGGGTGGACTAGAGTCAGGTACCCATCAAAGCTGGATGGACTAGAATCAGGTACCCATCAGAGCTGGGTGGACTAGAGTCAGGTACCCATCAGAGCTGGGTGGACTAGAGTCAGGTACCCATCAGAGCTGGGTGAAGTAGAGTCAGGTACCCATCAGAGCTGGGTGGACTAGTCAGGTACCCATCAGAGCTGGGTGGACTAGAGTCAGGTACCCATCAGAGCTGGGTGGACTAGAGTCAGGTACCCATCAAAGCTGGGTGAAGTAGAGTCAGGTACCCATCAGAGCTGGGTGGACTAGAGTCAGGTACCCATCAGAGCTGGGTGGAGTAGAGTCAGGTACCCATCAGAGCTGGGTGGAGTAGAGTCAGGTACCCATGTACCCATCAGAGCTGGGTGGACTAGAGTCAGGTACCCATCAGAGCTGGGTGGACTAGTCAGGTACCCATCAGAGCTGGGTGAAGTAGAGTCAGGTACCCATCAGAGCTGGGTGAAGTAGAGTCAGGTACCCATCAGAGCTGGGTGAAGTAGAGTCAGGTACCCATCTGAGTTGGGTGGACTAGAGTCAGCTACCCATCAGAGCTGGGTGAAGTAGAGTCAGGTACCCATCAGAGCTGGGTGGACTAGAGTCAGGTACCCATCAGAGCTGGGTGAACTAGAGTCAGGTACCCATCAGAGCTGGGTGGAATCAGGGACTCGTTTCCGGGATCCGAACTCGAGACTTTCAGGTTAGGAGTGTGTAAGAGTGTTAAAAGCCCAACTAAATGAGACGTGTACCCAATGCTAACTTCAGCAATATTATTCATTTAATATGTGTACAGTTTCAGACAACTAACTCTAAAGCTACAAAGGATCTCAGACAACTTTAAATGTAAATCTAGAGTTAGATGTAATCTCAGCTAGACATTTTTTAATTTTTGTTTTCAAACAATGCTGTACATCAAACTTCATTACAGTTGCTTCTCACTTCTGCATTTCTCTGATTACTTCCCTTTTACCCTTCTTCTGTATCTCCCGACTTCATTACTTCACTTTTACCCTACTTCTGTATCTCCCGACTTCATTACTTCCCTTTTACCCTTCTTCTGTATCTCCCGACTTCATTACTTCACTTTTACCCTACTTCTGTATTTCCCTATGTAACAACATGTATTCTTTGTTGTTGTGGGTTAGTTTTCACACAGGAATACAAGCAATAGTGGCAACTTCAAATGATGACTTTATTTACACTATATACAGTGAGAATGATAAATCCATGGTTATTCATGGTAAATCCATATTAGAAGATACTCAACAAGTACAGTCACAGTCACGACTCCAAGTCATGGAGACATCTTACATTCACTGATACAGTTCAAGTTCCAAGTCCTAGCACACAACACCCGTTCACCTTTGAGGTAGATTGTAATGACTGACGAGAAGCCGCGTTGGTTGTTAAAAGCCTTTATTATGTACAGACGCCATGATGCCAAGAGAGAGAGAGAAATGGCGAGAGAGAACTATTTATAGATAACAACATGTAAGGGACATCACTCAAGATAACAATATAAATATAATACTAATACAGAGAGTGAGTTCCCTTGACCTCACAATTAACTCAATCTATTACATCCCTTTACCCTTAGAACACAATAACACATCTCTCAATAGAACAATTGATAGTATCCTAAAATCACCAATTATATTGTAACATGAACACTATGGTAGATTACATCCTTACAAACAATGCACAATATGCTACAACATAATCAAAATACAAAACAATAATGTCAAAGTCCTTTTGACCTTTAGAATCATAGGTCTAACTTATTTGGGACTTTGATTGTCCTGCTTGACCTTCTCAAAGGCTTTTGATTTGGTGACTCAAGATTCTGACCATCTGGATTCTCTATCTCAGGAGGTCTAGGATTTAAATCATTAACTCCAGAATTTACATTTTCTGACTCCAGACAACTTGGTTCACTCATATCAACAGAACTTGGTTGTGGAACAAACTGAGTTGGTGTGAACTGATCAGACTTGGTGGGATTGATAGATTCACACTTATTATCTGCACAAGTTATTTTTAACTTTATAAGACACAGGTCCTGTACATTGAACAATTTGACCTGGTATCCATTTTTCCTTTCTCCCATAATTTCTTAGATACACATTCTCATTAACACCAAATTCTCTTTCAATGGATGATTTGTCATGATTTACTTTTTTTAATTGGCATCTGAAAGTATTATGCTGTTATTCAGATCCTTGACTGACATAGATTTCTTTGATTGATCAATTTCCTCAGGTAATCTGATAGTGCTTTTTCGTAACCAAACATACTGTTTAAAAGTAATATCCTGGACAATATCACTTTGCAACTGTGATCCAGTATTTGAAGTGGGTGTATTCAATGGCAAAAATCTTTTTTCTTTTCTTTTGATGTTACCCTTTTAGTTTCTTTTAGTTTCTGTAAGTGCTAATGATGTTAGCAAGGTTGTTTGATGATCACATTCCTTCTTACTAATGTATTTTCTTTAAAACATTTGAAATTGCCATATCACCATAATCATTTATTAAGTTATAAATACTTTGTTTAGGCAACTCTGACTGATAATGGACTGCATCTTCTCCATCTTTTATATTATCTTCACAAAGGTTTTTATTTCTTATTTTATATGGCTTTAAGTCATCATTCACAGACTCTTCAGGCCAACCATTCTTACAGTACTCATATACTTTTATTAAGCACTCATCTTTTTGTGTTTCTCTTTTAATATCATTCACATTTATATTGGAGTTATCCATGATAGTGAAGAGAACAAATACATCTTCTGGTACATAGCTCAGGCTTTGGTTTTTTAAAGGTAATCTACTAAGACTATCTGCACTATTCTCAGATCCAGGTTTGTATTTCAATTCATAATTGTATGCAGTTAGTGTGATAGCCCATCTTTGAATCCTTGGTGAGGCATGCTCAGGTAGGGTTTTGTTTTCTCCAAATAAACCTAGCAATGGTTTATGATCTGTAAAGATGGTGAACTTCCTACCAAACAGAAACTTATGAAATTTCTTAACACCAAAAATGATGCCTAAGCCTTCCCTATCTAACTGAGAATAATTTTTCTCAGCCTGGTTCAAAGATCTACTGGCAAAAGCAATGGGTCTGTCACCCTTCTCATCCATGTGGGACAAGACTGCTCCTACACCATCTGGTGAAGCATCACATGTTAATATAAGTCTTTTCCCTGGGTCATAGTGAGTTAGTAAGGTGTTAGCAGACAAAGCCTCTTTTGCTGTATTAAAAGCAGCTTCTTGTTGTTTACCCCAGTGCCAAGTTGCATTTTTCTGTAGCAGCTTGTACAGTGGTGATAGTTTACCAGACAGATTTCCTATGAACTTTGCATAGTAATTTATCAAGCCCAAAAAAGCTCTTAGTTGTTGGGTATTTTCAGGTTTGGGTGCTTCTTTAATGGCTTTTGTTTTCTCAGGTTGAGGTCTGATACCTTGCTTGCTTAATATATAACCAAGAAAACTAATTTCTGTCAGCATGAATTGACATTTATCTTTGTTTATCTTTAAACCTTTTTCACCAACAATTTTCAATACTTTATCAAGTGTTTTAAGATGTTCAGTGTCATTCTTACCAGTTATGTACACATTGTCAAAGTACACACAAACATTTGGAATGTCCTTAAAAATACTGTCCATGACAGCTTGGAAAATTCCAGGGCTAGATGATATGCCAAAACATAGTCTTTCATATTGGTAGAGTCCTTTATGTGTGTTTATTGTCGTATAGACTTTTGAATCTGGATGCAGTTCTAGTTGAGTGTAAGCATGACTAAAGTCTAATTCAGTGAATTTGTCTCCTCCTGCCAAATTCAAAGAGATTTCCTCAATGTTAGGTATAGGGTACCTATTTAGCTCTATTTGCTTATTCAGTGTAGTTTTATAATCTCCACAAATTCTTATAGAACCATCCTTCTTTAACACTGGCACAATGGGTGTCGCCCAATCGGAATGGTCTACCTTCTTTATGATGCCATTAGATTCCAATCTACTTAGCTCATTTTCAATTTTATTCCTCATTGCATAAGGTGGAACTCTAGCTTTGCAGTATCTTGGATTTGTATCTTTAATGCTTAACTTCACTGTTCTATCATTTAGTAAACCTGAGTTACCAAAAACACATTTATTTTCAGATATAACTTTATCTAGTGAAGTAAGACTAGATTCTTTTCCATTGTTCGATGAACAAATACTCTCCCAATTTAACTTAAGATCACTTAACCAGTTCCTACCTAGTAATGGCGGTCCATTTCCTTCAACCACAAGAAGAGGAAGTTTAACACTTTGACCATTATAACTTACATGAACCATACACTC